GTGTGGGGATGTGGAGAGTGGCAAGGAGGTGTTGAAGCCATTCAAAGGACACACTGACTCTATTTGTTCCGTTGCATTTTCGCCTGATGGCACAAAAATCGTCTCTGGCTCCTATGACCACACGATCCGGGTGTGGGATGTTGAGAGTGGCAAGGAGGTGTTGAAGCCGTTTGAAGGACACACTGACTCTATTTGTTCCGTTGCATTTTGGCCTGATGGCACAAAGATTGTCTCTGGCTCCTCTGACCGCACGATCCGGATGTGGGATGTTGAGAGCGGCGAGGAGGTGTCGAAGCCATTTGAAGGACACACCTCCATCGTGAACTCTGTCACATTTTCGCCTGATGGCACAAAGATTGTCTCTGGCTCCTCTGACTGCACTGTCCGGGTGTGGGATGTTGAGAGTGGCAAGGAGGTGTTGAAGCCATTTGAAGGACACACCGAGTCTGTTAGGTCCGTCGCATTTTCGCCCGATGGCACAAATATTGTCTCTGGCTCCTATGACCACACGATCCGGGTGTGGGATGTTGAGAGCGGCAAGGAGGTGTCGAAGCCATTCAATGGACACACCTCCATCGTGAACTCTGTCGCATTTTCGCCCGACGGCACAAAGATTGCCTCTGGCTCCTTTGATCGCACGATCCGGGTGTGGGATGTTGAGAGCGGCAAGGAGGTGTCGAAGCCATTTGAAGGACCCACCAACTATGTCACCACCTCAGCATTTTTGCCCGATGGCATGAAGGTTGTCTCAGGCTCCAAAGACGGTGGAATTGAAGCTCAGGGTAGTAGTTCAAAGGTATGTCTGTGCTTTAGGTGGCCCTGTGTTCTTCTCATGCACTTTTCCAATATATTTATCAATAGCTCTGATGTTTATATCTACAGATTGCAGACCCGAGTCATTTGATAAATGCACATTGGGAACGATGGACATCTAGGGAAGGAGCATGGATTGTAGGGCCCGATGACGGGCTTATACTCTGGGTCCCTCCACAGCTGCGAGAGAGTCTCCATTGGCCCGGATGTCGAGCCATCCTCGGCCGAGAGCAGGTCTACATTGACTTTACCCATTTTAAATACGGAACATCGTGGACTGACTGTTTCGCTCCTCCAAGGTCCTGAATGCAACACTGTAGATTTACTGGTCTTCCTCTGTATTTGTGACTCCTAATTTACTTATCCTGTTACCGCTCCCAGCTCTTCCTGTCGTGTACGACTCGGACATTCCATGTTCTGTGACCAGCTACAAATGAATTCTAGATCTGTTTCACGTCTTCGGTCGCACGCTCAATGACTGACTCCATCACTTGCACTTCAGCGTCCCGACGTGTACGATGTCAGGACTTGTTCCCTTGCTGTCACATCACATTCACCAGTTATAACAGCCAGCAAAGTTCAAACTGATCCTCGAAAATTGTTGCTCTCTCGTCCGTCCATTTCCCATCGCTCTCGCCTACATGCTACTTGTGCACTTTCTCTCCGAGCCTTCCTCCCGTTGGACAATCAATCATACATCCCTTCTCTTTCTTTTCTCAGCCGCATCTTGACGCACGTCTACATTCAATGATTACCTCACTTATAGGGAATCAATGAGACAGCATCAGGCAAAATGTACGTGCAAGTGATAGCCGACGGGGACAATGGCGAGGAGCTGTCTTGATCACTTTAAGCGAGCAGGGTGCGGATGATTGATATTAAGTATGACAGACCCCGCACTGGCAGAGAAAGACTGAACGGTCGCTCGAGTGGATGGAGAAAAGTATCCCGTGTAGGATCTGCTACGGAGACTAGAGAAAAGTCACGGTATTTGTGAGTGGCCATCGACGATGAGCTCAGTTATGATCTGCAGCCGTTAGATTTGATGCACGCAGAGTCGCCTAGTAGTCCTTACCTTAAGTACCTTACCATATTTTGGAATTTGCAACATGGGATTGGAAAGAGAGAAGAGCCGGGTTAAACGAGTGCTATGCCCACTTACAGCCTCAGAGTCTTAGCCGTGAAAGCCGTGACAATGGATCATTCGAAGTAATGATGCATAGCTGAGAGTGTCTAGAGATGAACATCGAGTCGAGTGACATTTCATCATGCTTTCAGCGGAGTCAGGCTCCCGATGTATCCTGAGCCCAGTAGCAATGGCCTCAAATGACCCCAAGCGAAGAAGCAACCATAGAACGGATAAAGCGCCATAGTACGAATGAACACACCGAGACAGTCCCCATCTTTCACAGCATGCTACCACTCGAACCACCACGCATAATATTAATCCTCAAATTCTGCATCTGGAAAGGCGATGAAGCAATTGCAACGAACCAAGATTCTCGCTCATCCCGAGACCTCAGAAATAGATACCCTTGTGCCTTGCGAGGAGCCGAAGGAGTGCATAGATGCATCATGACGTATATTACAATACTTAGACCTGAGGTCGGTGATACTTAACGAATAGACAAAAGCAACCGGATTCACGCACTGTAACACACTCGAACATCGGAACACTAAACCCAACCACCCGAAAGTGACAGTCCTCCGAGTTAAACACCATAAAACGTCCACTCACACGTCGCCCCCTCAACACGGCACAAAAGCCCCCCTAACAGCCTCATACACCCTCCGCTCCCAAGTGACGAGATTAACGCGCTTAGCGACTTCGATGCGCAGGTCGTCGTGCGTATGTAGGAGGGTGTGGAGGTAGGCGAATGCGAGGGCGTCGAGGGCTGTTGGGGAGCTGGGGACCGTGAGAGCGTGGAAGGAAGGGAAATGAGGGGAAATGAGGGGGATGAGAAGTGGGGGTTAGCTTTGAGTTGATGCGGGCGGGGGAGTGGAGAGAAGAGGAAGTGGGCCACAACACGTCCGGTGCCACACTGGATTCTGACGAAGAACAGAAGAAAGAAAGAACATACCTCGAGCCCAAAAACCACCTATCCGTCCCCAATCTCTCGCTCAACGATGCAACAGCATCATGATACCTCATCTTCACAGCATTAACAGGTATACGCGCTCCATACGGCGGGAGGAGGGACGATAAGCCTGTGAGCGGGGCTGGCGGAGGCGTGAGCAGTGTTTCGACGGGTCTTGGGGATCCCGAGGCGGGGAGTTGCAGGATTGTGGTGTAGAAGAAGGATGGGGATGGTTGGGCTAGTGCCTACGATGACGATGAGCAAAAAGTAGAAGGATGCTGGGCCACAGTCAAAGTAGAACGCGTACGAGTGCGGCATGAACGTCGCCCTCCAACAAGGCAACCCAGGCATGACTCTCATCCTTCGTCTCGACCGAACTATATCCCTCCAACTCATCGCCCTCGACTAGACCGACCCTCTCATCGATCCATGCCGCGATATTATGCGCCGGTAATATCTCCCCATCCACGTCCCCGTCCCCGTCCCCATCTTCGTCGGCAGTCAACACACTCGGCGTTTGCAGATTCGGTAACCTCCCGCCCAGCGCCCCCTCCGCCTTAACATCCGATCTCACCTGCACGTCCGTGAGGCCACGCAATGCAATATGCGCCTGCCATTTCAGACACTCGACGTCGGCGCTGAGGAGGTCGTTGCTTGTCTTCGGCGGGTGGATCCAGAGCGTGGGGCCGGAGATGCGACGTTTGCTTGGGACGGGTTGTGGTGCGTGTTCGATTAGGGGGAAGAGGGCGAAGAATCTGGCGAGGGGTTTTGGAAGCTGTAGGAGGGAGGAGGGGGAGCGGGAGGCTGTTGTGGTCATTATTGCTGTAGTGGAAGAAGTGGAGAGAAGAGGGGCTACGACATGTTTGTAGTGTTCAAGAATCGAATTCGTAGTCGTACTACGGAACCATTTGTAGCGTGCTTCAATTATGGAACGTGCCGACGGACTCTGACGGTGACGAACACGAACGAGATCGCGAACGTTCACACAGCCAAAGCGCGCTCGCCGTCATCATCAGCGGCGACTAAGCCACCTTTCTCGCTGCCCTCCCCCTTCGAAGCCATCGAGTCTTGGACTGAACCAGGTCGCTCGTCTGGTCTGCACATTGCATGCCGCTTCACCTTTGAAATTCTGCTTGGAATCCGGCGCAGCCCTGCATATATACCCTCCCTCATCGCACTCAGCTCACTCTCTCGTCTGTAAATCAACTGGAAATACCACCCCACAATGTCAGACTACACCTCGAACCCGTCCAGACCAGGCAGCCCCATCGCTCCCCTGCCAGATATCATGACCGCCCGCCCAGCCGCATACCGATTCAACTGGGACCCCGCATCGCGCAAACCTGGGCCGGGCAGCGTGTCGGAGACGACAGAGGGCAGGGCGGACTATTTCAGTGCGACGCCGAAGGTGGAGATTTATGGGGCGTCGACGACGAATCTGTTGCAGGACGTGCCGAACGAGTGGAGCAGTTCGCGGCATGGCTTTCATGGTCAGTTCCCTGCTCTCTCGTAGTTATTTGGTGATACAAAGGTAAGTCGACCTGACGCTGTAAATCATTCGATAACTAGCAATATCGACCGTGGTGAACAACCCGCACAAACGGTCCGCGCCTCCCAAAGCGCACGCCGCCGTGCCCTCCGTCCCGCTCGCTGACCTCCCCCGCGTCAAACGCAAAGACTTCGACGCCTACCTCCGCGCCGTCGCCCCAGAATGGGACCGTTTCCAGAAGAATGCCGCATCGGGCTCCTCCTCCTCCTCACAACAAACGCAAGGGCAATTCCAAGCGTCCTCCTCCGCCACGACACTCGACTTTGACGAGCTCGTTTCTCCTGACCTCGACTCTCCATCCTCCATCTCCCAATCCCACGAACGATCCCAGTCCGGATCGCCGAGAACACCACGGCCTGCAGCGAGATCATTACCGCCTCTGTCATCCATCCCCCAAGTCTTCTTCGACCCGAACTTCAATCTCGGAGACTCGAGGACCTTCAGCCTCGTCACCGAAACGCACTCTTCCCTCCCCCTCTCCTCCCGCAGTTCAATCTCTCCAACAACCCCAACCCCAACACCCCCCACAGACCCCTCCAGCCTCTCACACTCCCTCCCCCTCCTCGAAAAACTCTCCCACCACGCCGACACCCTCGAACAACACCTAATCCACGAAATCTCCCTCCGCGCCACACCCTTCTTCGCCGCTCTCACGAACCTCCAAGACCTCCAAGCCGAATCCTCACGATGTCTTTCCCGCATCCAATCTTTACGCGCGCAACTCCTCGACGTCGACACGCATAATGCGAAGAAAGGATTAGAGGCGGTTAGGAGGGAAGCGAGGTTGGAGGGGGTGAGGAAGGTTAGGGAGGGGGTTAGGGTCGTTCAGGGGGTGTGTGAGATGGTGGGGATTGCGAGGAGTTTGGTGGGGGCGGGACAGTGGGGGGAGGCGTTGACTTGTGTGGAGGAGTTGAAGGCGATGTGGGACGCTCCTTCGTACGGACAGCATGGGCATCAACTTCACGGACAGGGCAATGGAAATGCGACGTCGGTAAGACGGTCGAGCGACGGAAGGACCTTCACCCTCCTCGCGCCCATAGGAGAAGACGAGCACCGAATCCCGTTCACGCCCCTTCCCGGTCCAACGCCCGGCTCGAAACGAATGGCAGACGTGCCATTAGCAGAATTAGTCGCGTTCGGGTCATTACCTGCACAATTGGAGGAATTGACGATGGAGATCGCGGGCTCGTTGATGGGCGAGGTCGTTGCCGTTCTCAAGGTCGATCTCGTAGAGCGGGTGTATGGTGGTTCAGGTGCTGGTGACGGAATGGAGGGTACGGAGGGAGAGGGCAGGGGAAAGCTGAAGCTGAAGGTGCAGGATCAGGATGGGGAGCAGAGGGATCGGTTGAGGCCGTTGGTGCATGGGTTGATTAGGACGAGGAGCGTGAGGGAGACGATGGGGGAGTGGAGAGGGGTCGTGTTGGGCGAGGTGAAGGGGGTTGTTAGAAGGGTACGTGTTCCGTGTTTTTGGTGTTCCGTGTATCGTGTGGAGTTTGAGGTTTGGCTCGGTGCAGCATCTAGCGACGTTCGATCCGGAGGACGAGGATCCAAAGGCGACGTTGAAGGCGTCTTCGGAACGACCGTAAGACCACCCTCTTTGTTACCTTTCGAGGCGAGCTACTGAATGTGCTTTGGTTTTTCAGATGGGTAGAGGAAGTGAGGAAGATGTCGCATGTGCAGTTCCTGGACTTGCTTCGCTCGATATACAAGAGCTTTCTCCGATGCATCGAAGGTCTCCAAGCCTCGAGCAGCGTCCTCATCGAACTCCTCGACAGTCGCCTGTACGTCGCTCTCCTTCTCCTTCTCTTTCTTGCCCTACCGCTTCTCACCTTTTGCCCTTCGCTTCTCACCTCTTGCCTTTCGCTTCTCACCTCTCACCTCTCACCTTCCAAAAACACAGACCATCAGACTACCCAGCAGACATCTCAGTCCTGCAAGACAACTTGTTCGATATTCTTTCTTCGTCGGCTGAACTCGCTAATATATTGTCTTCGAAGTTACTTTCGGCGAGAGCGGAACAGCATACGAAGTTGGAGTTGCAGGAGTTCGTGGAGCTGTTTAATGAGAGCTGGAGTTTCGTGGTTAGGTGCGAGGTCATCTGCAGAAGGATGATCGTCGGCTTGCGAGGTGTCGTCGTTGGACAGGTACGCCACATCTCGACCCTCTCCCCCCCTCCCACTGTTATTTTGTTGATGTTCTGAGGCATTACGCACAGGCCAAATCCTTCCTCCAATCATTCCACCAATCCCGAATATCCCAATCCGCCAAACTAGTCGAAGACGAACAATGGGCCCCGGCGGACGTGACCTCGCCCATCCAACGAATAGCGGACCTTCTCGTCGATGCTGCCGTGCACGACCCGCGCGATCTCGTGCTCAGACTCACGCCGCCTGTTTCTTCCGCGTCCTCTTCCTCCTCCTCCTCTGCCAATTCCAACCATCTACCGAGTTCGCCCTCTAATCATCTACCGAGTTCGCCTGGTTCCTCCCTTGCCCCAGGAACCCACACAGACGGCTTCGGCTCCCGTCCTTCCTCCCCCCGCTCCACCTCCCCCCGTCCCCCCTCTCCCCTCCCACCCCCCACCTCCTCCTCACCTCCCTCTAAACACCTCAAAATCGAAGACCGCCCCTACTTCGCCGTCTCGGCAACACAGGAGACCCTGAAGCTAGTCACAGACTACCTGAAAGTGATAGTCAATCTGAGTCTATTGACGACGGACGCGATGGGGAGGATTATTGAGTTTTTGAAGGCGTTTAATTCGAGGACTTGTCAGGTGGTGCTGGGCGCGGGGGCGATGAGGAGTGCGGGGTTGAAGAATATTACGGCGAAGCATTTGGGTGGGTTTTCTTTCTTTCGTTGGATTTTTTTAAGAGGGGAGGAATTTTGGATCGAGCACCCTTCGTTGGCTGGTGTGATTGGTGGAGCGGAGGTGAAACGAAATGTCTCTTCGCATGATCAGGATATGTTTCCTGTCTGTGCTTGGATCTGGTCTGCGGCGTCCTATTGTGCTGTAGGCCGAGAAGGCTAACGTGGTGGACGGATGTGCTACGTCGACAGCGCAAGGCATTTATACTGCTTTTTTTTATGAGCGGTCGGTCAATATTGCGCCGTGAAAGCAAGGTGCTACTTCGAGTTATTGCTTTGCTCTACCACACTGTCTACAATATCCGTAGCCGCGCGAGTAGACGCACACCCAGGGTTTATGTTGATCTTGTGACTGATTTTTTCTTCGATCTTATACGCAGCCCTCGCCTCTCAATCGCTCTCCATCATGATCGCCCTCATCCCCTACATCCGCGAAACCTTCCGCCGACATCTAAACCCTAAACAAGCCGTCATGCTCGTCGAGTTCGATAAACTGAAGCGGGACTACCAAGAGCACCAGAACGAGATCCACGCGAAGCTGATCGCGATCATGGGCGATCGGCTCGCGGCGCACATCAAGACGCTGCGTGCCGTGCAGTGGGACAGACCGGGCCCAGCGGGGAAACAGGTTAATGATTATATGGAGCTGTTGGTGAAGGAGACGGTCACGCTGCATAAGGTGCTTTCGAGGTATTTGGCGAGTGCGGTGGTGGAGGTGAGTGTTTTTTTCGGTCGGTTTGTTTGGGGAGGAGGCGTTGGCTGATGAACGAACGATGTGGTTTAGTACGTGATGTCGCAAGTGTTCGCTGCTATCAACCATCGACTGTCGGAGGAATACTCGGAGATTGAGCTTCCGACGCCAGAATCCAAGCAACGGTACGTATCACACTCCCCCGGTCTACCCCTCATATGTTTCGCTTTCTAACCAAAGATTTACCGCATACAGCCTGCTTGCAGACGCCCACTACCTCAACGTCAAATTCTCGGCCCTCAAGAACGTAGGCGCACCTACCGGAATGCTCGAAACCGTCGTGTCCGAAAAACCACTCATCGGCGCCGCGGTCCCGCTCTCGCCTCTCCCCACAAGCGCCAACCATTCCTTGTCCAATAACAACGGCACCAACAACGGCAACGGCAACGCCATCTACTCCCACCCCCACCCCTCGAACATCTCCCTCAACGAACCCTCGACACCGCGAGTGGCCCCAGCCAAACGAACGTCGATATTCAATAACGACAGGATCAAGGGGATGCTGTCGAGGGCTACGTCGCACACAGCGACGCACAATAACGTGCCTACGGTGACGGAGAAGGCATTACCGATCCCTGTGCCGAGCAGTCCGATGTTCAGCCCGCCTACGATGGATAATATCGAACCGACGCCGCTGCCGCCACCGAAACCTGCGAGTCCGGCCTCGAGTCGTCCGAATTCGAGATCGAGCTCTCCGAGACCTAATTCACCGCGTCCTTCGTCGCCGAGGCCTAATTCACCTAGTCCCCTGGGCGGTCCGTACGTGAATGGGAACGGGAACGGTGTTGGAGTTGAGACAGGGTACGCGAATGGGTTGAGGCCGGAGGATGCGCATGCGACGATTACGAATGGGAGTGCGGCGAGTTTGTTCGCACCTTCGCCTGTTCCTGGTGGGAGTTCGGGAACGCTCACGCCTTCGAATGCTATGGAGGACTTGACGGCTGCAGCACCGTCGACGGGCGAAGCAGGCGAAGGGCAAGAGGCGCCACCACCGATCCCGGAGAAGGATGGAGAAGGGACTAGGCCGAGTACACCTCTTCCGGAGACCGACACTGGAATTGTCGAGGAACCGGAGGAGATGGAGGATGTGAGAGATGAAATGGACGATGAGGCCGGTCCAGGGGCGGGAATGAATGGTGTGGCGGACGGGGAGCCTGAGACAGGAACGAGGACAAGTGGGGAAGAGGGCGGCTCTGGTGATGTCAGGGGTATTGGTGATGGTGTGGGTAAGGCCCAAGATGAAGAGGTGGAGGTGAAGGAAGAGGGTGATGGGGTCGTTGCCGTCGCTGCTGCGAGTAGTGGAGACGCTCGTGAGATGGTTGCATAGCGTTTCTTGGGATGTGACGTTGGACATTGTCCCTTGGTCGTTGGTTAAAGAAGGTGGAGAGTGTGCGGAGGTGGCCCAGGAGAGTATCTATACATACAGTTTTTCCCTTTATTTCATTTGTTTCGGTCGGATTTTCTGCACTTTTTCTCGTCGTTTGCCTTCTGCCTTTTTCTGTCCACTAATCCAGTTTTTCGTCTTCGCTTTCTACTTTGTAATTGAGATTAGGGCGTGTCTGCTTTTCCTGCCTTGTCTTCGGCGCTTGAATCTCTCTACCAGACCCGCACGAGCCACTGGTGAATTTTTCAAGCGGTAACGAGCGGCTTTTTGGTCTCTGGAACGTTGGTGAACATAACGTTAACCCTTTCAGGATCTGCGCGGCGTGAACTGTCTCCCAGGTCGAGATGCTCCTCACGCATGCGCAAGGAGAGACCCTGCGTGGATATTACTCAAGCCCCTCAACGCCATGCAGTGCTGGCGAATAACGACCTAGACAACTCGTCTCAAAACCCTACGGAGAATTGACCCTCAGACACCCCATTGAACATTCAGGGCGAGCGGACAGTCCGGCGGCGCTGGGGAGCTTGGACGGAGGTAAACAGGGTGGTGAGGTACCGCCGGCGTAGGTACTACAGCCGTTTGCATATGAGATCGGAGTGATGCGCGCAGAAAAAAACCGGCGCGCCTCGACCAAACAAAGCCATAAATGGCACTCCTTCTCGGCACACTTCGGCAGTGGCACACAAGGAATTTGGCTCTTTGGGTCTCTTTCGACAATTCTCTATGTGTCGTAGGTATCTTATTGTAAGAAAAATAAGTGTATTATGTCGGCAAAGCGAGCATGCAGCTTAGAGACACGTAGCGGCTACTACAGGGTATACCAGAACGCATGAAACGACGCCGACTGGTCAACTCGACAGATGTGCGGACTCGGCCATAGACTCCGCAACCAAGCATTGAGCACCTTGAAAGTGCCGAGCCGTAGTTCCCAAGGGAAGATGCAACTGTAGACAAATGAGCTAGATACAGTAGTGATGTTCGGAATGTAATGAGATGAAGGGCATCCGACAGAAGTACATTCAAGAGGGGACTGTTTGAAGAGAGGTGAATTCGTCGTACAGGGAAGTGTCCAGATGTCGTATGCTTGATCTGAAGATTCGTGGGAGCAAAAACCATGGAGCTCGTACGAAGAGTGGGGGAACCTCGACCGCAACGGCGGCTGTATGAGCATGAGTGCTCGCCGCGAATGTACACAGGCAAGAAACCAAAGCATATAAAACGGAAACGCGACTCACAGAGATTTCTATGTCAGCCATCTGACAATTTTCCGACAATCTGAACTCCTGCGATTGCTTCCATCCGTCATCACAAAATCCTGTATCTTTCACCAGTGCCTATGAGCATGGAGGTTGCAAGAGGACTTGAAGAGGTGTGGAGTTGGTGACGAGCAATGAGTAACCCAGGCGGATTGAGGAGTCTGGTCTTGGTCCGGTCAGCGTATGTTCGACGAGCTCCAGCCTAGTGAGCAATGAGCGCGAGCAATTGCAGAACGACGACGAAGCAGAGCTGAGTATCAGACTCGTTCGCCACACAAGCCTGCCGAAGTCGCGCCGAAGTGGACTGCCGTTTATGGCTTTGTTTGGCTGAGGCACGCCATTTTTTTCTCCGCGCGTCACTCCGATCTCATATGCAAACGGCTGTATACTCTACACGCCCGCCACTAATTATATCATTAGGTTCCTGTGGCACATAATAATCCATGTCGATCCCAGAGACAGGTCAGCTGTTCAAATATGGTTCCTGATTCACCGGCGGCAAACGTCGAAAATGTCAAGTAGGATACGTTTGATGAGGTCCCAAGACCTTTGCTACTGGGACGCAGACCTTCCGTGAATTTACGTTGAATCCAGTGCCTCTCTCGCAAACGTCCAGACCGACTGAGGCCTCTCAAACGGTGGAGCCGCAATGTCCACAAGTCATGAGTTCGCCCAACCTGACCCCAGAAACAAATATTTCACCTCTTGTCTCCTGCGGCGGTGAGGCCGTGCAGCCCAGCCAACTTCAAACAGTGCTCGGCAGACAAGCACGCCGAACCACATAAGTGAGGTACAAGTTGGATAGAGACCCTCGGACACCTGCAGGATGGAGGGCACATCAAGTGACTTGAAGAAAGTTTTGAACCGGTGCCCGAAGTAAAAAGTTCAACTGTGCCACAGTACGCAGCTGCCGTCCCGCAGGAATGTCGTGCTCGGTTTGCAGGGCAGCGGGTGTGGCGCACCATCGTCACCGATGCGAGCGGCGGATGTTGATCGTGACAAAACTACTGTGCGGAATGCAAAGGAAGAAAGAAAAAAGTCAGCATTTGATGGCTTAGCCAGAAAATAAGCGCAAGATCGACGATGACCTACCTGGCCGGCGAGCCTACATCCTACAGCTATGTCTCTTTCCAGTGAGACATTGTTTGTTCTCCAGTAGTTTGACAGACGTTCTGTCCGAATTGGCGAGGATGATCGTCTGTCACAAAATATCAATAGGATAACATGCATATGAGAAGCCGCACGCGATGGATCATCGGACAAGGGATCGTCCAACAAGGGTTTTTGAACAAGGCAGGAGGAAGAATAAAAATATCTAGGCAATTCTACACCGGCGGAAGTCAAGGGCGGAATCAACAAGACAGATACTTCCGCTGAACATGACGGAAGTCAGGCTGCAAGACGGCCGCCGGTATCGTCGTACGTGCACGAAGGTATCCCAGAGAGACAGAAGAACACACGAAAGGTTGCGTTGAGGTCAACTAGGATCCTCAGAAATGAATAATATAGACGGCTGGTTTATCGAGCGCTAGGTGACCTGAGCTCTGGGATGGACATATTCGCTTCCGAGCCCTATGATAGAGTCAACGAACACTCTAGCTCCGAGGAAATTTACAAACAGTTTTGTGCGCTCATAGGTATGCACGCAAGAAAAGGAGAGAGCCTGACAAGATAGACAATAACAGGAGGCGAATGTGGAGGAGGAAAAGAAGCTCGAACGCCACAAAGGTCTTGGAAAGGACTCCGGACAGCTATTTACGTAACGCGAGGAGCGGAGATTGCCGGTCCCTAGCATTGCAGCGGCTTTCATATCGATAGATAGCCCTCGACTTTCCGCGAGTGCACTAAACATCAATATAGATGAACCAAACAACTCCCGATCCTGCGGGAGAAGATCTCGCAACTCTGTCCGTTGTCAAAGGGAAGCATCAAAACGGCCTTGCGTGGGATACCATTGCCCCAAAGAGCGAGTGTTTGGTCGAGTCTATATTGTGTTTGGCGCACTCATAAAATATTGGGGCTATCTATCGTTTTGAAAGCCGCTGTGACGAAGATCGGGACCCAAGTTCAACTTCTCGACATCTCTTGGACAACTCTCATCTTCCCCACCCTGCCTCCCATCGCGAACATTATAGACTGCTATCACACACGACCAACTTCTAGGAATGGAGAGACCTTTTGGTGAGAATCTTACACAGGATCGAGGTACCGCCCAGTCCTTTCAGCATTGCTCTTGCATTGCTCAGACGTCCTTCTTGGCCTTCTCGAGGCGACCGGGTGTTCATTCCACGAACGCCCCCAAACTCCCGCGACTGTGGTATGAAGAGAGCATTGAGGATCTGGGGTAGAGCACCTCACCGGTGATCTATACCACCCTCGCAGTCTGGATTCGTGCCCCCAGAACCTCTCTTGCCTTCTCTGCAGCTTGTTTGCTGCGCTCGCTCGCAATTGGTGGAGATCACTCGAAACCGCCGGTATATACGCCGACAGTCCGACGTCGTATCTTCATTTGTTCTCGCACGCACGAAGAGGGTCATTTTGTCCTATGGATATGTTGTCTGGTGACTCGAGAACTATCGGTTCGGCGAACGACGGACGTATATCCTTCATCGACCTCGTATGTAAATTGACGAGTGCGGGTCGGTACTAAACGGACACGACTGGCCTTGGGTCCCCGAAAGAGTCACCGGCCGCACTGATCATCGATTCTTTTTCTCCAAGATTCTTGGCTTGGGCGTAGCCATTTATGTGCAGCCGTTTATTTGCCGAGATCTGGGCGGAGGACCTTCACAGTATGGAGCACCGTGGATCGGGTTCCCCAGATCGACGGATGACCTCGACGCTTGTCGGCGGATTGGCTTTGGAATAAGGACAATGGAAGGGTGGAATGGCGTGGTGTGGCGTAGAGGGTCTAGCATCATCACTGGCCTTTTGTGAAACGCTTATTCCTCGTGTGGTGTGAATATCACGCCACCACGCACAGATAGGCAGGATGTGGCTTCCATCTTTCCGCCCCAATATTCTTAGGGTCTGGTGCGGTCCTGGGGTCTCATCATACCTTTGCGGTGTCAAGACAGCGCCGTATACGTACCTTCAAGATACTGCGCTTCCACCACATAAGTTGCGTGCTGGTGTGGCCGGGGACGGTGTCTGGCACAGCTGCAGACTGCAGTAAGAACTGGTTCGGTCCCTCCTCAAAATCCCTGATAGAGGAGCTAGACGATTACTAACAGGACTTGTCTGGCTGCGAATTAGCTCTCGCCATTCTCAGTCAACCCGTATCTGCGCCTTCCCTCCCTCGGCGAAACGGCGTGTGTGGTGTAACGGAGTCTGATCCCTGAAAGGCGTGTCTAATATCCCAAACCCGCTTGTTCATCTTCTCATAAGCTTGGAGCCTCTGATTACTATTCGTGATACCATAACGCTTACACAGCATACAGCCATGTCTTGCGCCACACTCGTCGATAGGCAGGCCTGAGGCCTCTGTTGAAATCAAAACATCACCACCCTACACGCACACACGGCGAAACAGGCGAACAACTCATGATTCATGAGCCGGGTATGCACTGATGGGTCCGTTTTGACCCCGGATTGACGCTTTGACAGAAATAAGCACAGCTCCAAGGAGATTTTGAAAGAGACGAGAGCTACGACTTGGACGGCTCTCCGCTCTGATCAGTTTTTTTTTTCGGCTGTCCGAGTCTTCGCTGGAAGGTATGTATGTACCTGCCTGATCTACCCGTTCGGCTTGCTTCAATTTTTTTCTCTCTCTTGGAGTAGACGCCAGGGGCTGTGAAATGTTCTCTGATTGGCGCCATCGAGGTGGGAGGGCGGCCAACTCAGAAACACGAGGCTACGAACCTTCTCGGTTAGCTGTTCCTCTGGCGCTATGTTATGTTCGGGCGCCACACGACTCGCCACTTGTGCCTTTGCCTTCCATACAACAAACATTGTTGCTGCCGCCGAGCTCAAGAACCTGAGTGCTATGTGTGAGATAAAGGAGGTTGGGTACGTCGTTCGACGTCATGATCCTCTGTATCTATGTGTTGTCTATCTACACCGTTCCTTGGAGATCGTCGCTGACGTTGAGTGATTCCCATATTTTCATGAGAAGAATGCAGTCAGTGCGTACCTAGTACATACCATCCTCCTGAGCGTCATGATCAGCATACCAACCGTGCCTGCGCACCACCACCACCACCAACGCATCATCGCTACTCTTCTCTCTTCTCTCTCGGACCTAGAACACACCCCGTCGACCGTAGTATGTGCATGCATGCTTCCGCACCATCTAGACTCTGCACACAAATTCTTTCCAGTTCCTCGTTGAAGGCTTGAAACTGACGTCGTCGATCCTAGACCACGTCACGGTCAACTGAGATCCCCGCATGACGTCACGCCGCCTCGACACACTGAGCGAACTGTGACTATCGTCGCACGACGTCTTACTAGTTACTGTAATCCACCGATGTATGTATCACTCATACGCAGGGTCCTCTGGAAAGGAGTGACCGAGCGTTAAGCAGAGTCCAACAATGCGAGGTTATAAAGCCAAGGCTGACAAACTACCACAACAATCATCACTATCACTGCACAAGTGACCAGTCGCACCGTCCTACCGACCGGGAAGGTTATCGCATCGGTTCGTCAGCAAATGATTATTGACAAGCGCCGATTCAGAGCGAAAAGGCTAGGACTCCGAGTGCTTATCGCGCTATGTGTGTACACACTCAAGGACAAAACGTCCGCTTATCTGAGGCATTATCATCCCGCCCGGGATGGCGCGAAATGTCACGGTTTGGGTTTGCGAGGGTGGGCGTTTAGATGTCGTATGTGTGTAAGTGTTGTATGTGTGTGTGGTTTCACTTATTTGACCTTTTTTGTTGAGTCTTGTTTAAATTGGCGTCACGGCTAGAATCGGAGCTCGTGAAGAAAAAACAAACGATGAGATAGAGAGCTTGAGCGTGAAGCCGAAGTGAAGAAAGATAAGAAAGGCTCGCAAGGGTCGGCCGCGAGCGCTGCGAAACACTCGGAGGCTCGGAAGGACTATATTTACTTGAGATGTTTTTGCTTGGGTTGAATTGGACAGAAAGAGAGCGAGAGGAGGAGAGAGATACGACTTCCGGCGAGAGTTCGGAGCGCTCGACTTCGGAACGTCGAATGTAAGTTATTTTCTGCTTCAACTACATCCCGTTATAACCCTAAGTTCTAACTTATATTAAGTTGCGTGCGTGCATGTATGAGCATGAGCGCTTGCAATTGTGTGAGTCCGAGTTCAGGGGAAGTCGGAGGGAGAAGATACGAAGAGTGGGACAGCGGCCGTTAAGGCAAGGATCAAGGATCAAGGATCAAGAATGGATGTACGTAAATCACACATGCATGTTGTGGGCTCGAACCCACGAAAGGAGAACAAAGGAAGGAAGGTCTAAGGAAGAAGCTTCAAGCAATGAGCAGCGTGACCGTGACTGTATTTGAGTCGCTGGGGAGTCGGGGGTCGGGAGTCGGAGTGATCGGCGGACGCACAGTCTAAGAGACGTAACAAACCTGAAAGGAAGAAAGAAAGAAAGAAACCGGCCTTCGCGTGCCTTTCTATCTTCAGCTAACAGTAACAGTAAGCTCCTTATCCGCTCTCAAGATCTCAACGGCGGGAATAAGTACGAGGGAAGAGTCGTCTGAGTCAAAGTTATATTTGGGACGACTCGGATATACAGGCTATGTTCGAGATGAGACGAGGAAGGACGAGGCACGAAGAATTCGAAGAGGGTAAGTTTCTGAGTCAGATATGGGGTATGTTTAGTGGTTAGTCAAGTATACGATTAGAATAGTACAGAACAGACGAGGCTCATCGAGACATAGACTCAACTATATTCAGTGTTCACGAAGCACTGTCAATGGGAGCACCCGCACCCGTACGGAGTCTCGGACGATCTTCGACTGTACGATCCATCCTTCCCACCTGAATCACTTCGCAAAAAAAAAACCATTGACAAGCCCACACGACCCATTCCCATTCCCACTACCACATTGATACGACCGGAATATTCGGGATGGGGTATATGTAGTACGGGATATTCGGTCTTCAATATGGCAATAAGGTCACCTCGGATTACCCATCGACATTATAATACACACTCGGTCCGAACGAACGTGAGGATAGGAAACGATGAAAATCCAGTGGGGGCGCTAGGGGAGGCTAGGGGATTCAGAGCATCAGAGGACTACACCAATCACGCGCAGTCCCCGAAGCCTCCCGACTCTCCCCCCAAAACCAAAAAAACGCAGGCCCGGGGTGCGATAAGATACGCAACCCAAAAAGGTCGAACAAAGACTGACGAGAAATCCCAGGCTGAAGACTGCGATAAGTCACTGTCAGAAGCCCAAAAGGGTCGAACAAAAAGGCCGCGTTCCGATGCTGCATGCACCCATGGATATACCATACCATAACATAACATAACATAACATAACATAGCATAACGAAGGACCATGAGCTGTGAACCGTGAGCCGTGAGCCGTCGAGGACCCCGAGGGTTTTCAATATGTTGTTTTCCGATATGGGATGTGCATATGATGCGGGAAGAAATTCGAAAAAGAGTAGGTTGCTTGAAGTTGCAGGGTGGGATAGGGGACTGGATGTACGTACGTATGCACGTACGCGTAAAATTCGGTTTGAGGACTCGGAGCAAGTCCGATCGCTGATCATGTCCCAGAAAGGAGAATTAAGAATAAAAGGTTACCGCGATGCTACCAGTAGAGGCGAATCCTCTAGGTGAGCATAGACTGGATCTGATCGTGGTTTAGAATGGAGAATAAAAGCAGTCGTCCGAGTCATCACGATGCGAGAGTTGAGCATAAAACTGGATCGATGCGACAAAGGAAAAGAAAAGAGAAACCGCACGCATGCGTGCGTACGTAGGTGGAGTACATACATATACCCGAGATCATGACCACTGACATTCGAAAACGAAAGCGATCCGGTGGGAGGTTAAAGTCTAAGAATCAGCGGAGCACATCGGATGACCCAGAGCTTCAGCTCCAGCAATCCCGAGTGACGATCGTCCACAGCTGATACCCATCCATATGACGAGCTCTAAGTTGATAGAATTATCCATCCGGATGACGAGCTATGAGCGAAAGTGATAGAATAGTTTGAATGAAGTGTTCGTCGTTCCATGCCTAGCCAATAGAGATGAATCGATGAACATGGTCCGTGCGTACCAAAGCACAGCACAACGACACGACACCCCAATAAGACACAGAATGAGGCCTGCGTCGCCCCATGCCTAGCCATGGCCAGTGGAGATGAATCGCCGTACGTACCAAGCGCGGTACCCTAATCAATCGCACAAAAAGCAATCAAACAAGCAAGCAAGGTGACCCTGTTAGCTAAAGTGCGCACCAGCAAGGTGAGCGGCTAGTCCGCCAAAGAACGAAGTCCTTCGCTTCGATTGCGGAGCAGAGGCTCGTAAAGCCAACTCATAAACGGCAGTCACATCAACGTATAAGTACGCGCTGGCACAAGTACTAAGTAGAACGCGGGATGGAAGGGAAGACGTGGCGTGGCGTGGGGTGGTGTGCCATGGAATGGTAAATCACGGAAGTTCGGGTCTATGATCGTCGAAGAGGGATGCTGAGCCGCTCGGACGAGATAATGTGACGGATGACGGATGACGAAATGACGAATATGGCGCAAGAATAGGAATCCAGAATCGACGTCAAGTACTTCAGTTTGATCCTGGACTAAGTTATCCATAACGGGCTGGCCGTGGCGAGATAAACTAGATTGCATCAGGCGTATGAGGGAAAGTAAACACTGAGAGGGAGGGAGTTGGACGTGTAGAGGTGTGGTGGCGTGACGTGGCACTTTCAGAATCAGAGCTGCAGAATAGTCATCTTGGACCACCGTGCGGGATAACAACAATAAGGTGAGTTGGTCGGGGTCCCAGTCAGGCTGCATACTGAGGAAGCCCGAGGAGATGCGAGCGAGGCCTTCGAGAACGATGGACGCAGGAGAGGTTCGAAAATCGAACAGACGCCGCAGAACATCATGAGAAGAACGTCCAAAGTGACAGCGTTGGCTCTGAACGTGCAGCGGGGCCAACGTCGACCGGGGGAGGGATTCCAGAGAGCGAGAATGAAAGCTGCCAATGGCACGCAAATCAGAGGGACATGACCGGGCGGTGATGCGCCCGAAAGGGTACGCATGCATGAGTTGCGTGCGAGGAGACGATGAAACGTGTTATCAGGCAGAATGAGGGTAGGAGGACAGTCACGATGGTGATGGATAACAGTCGTGACTGGGCAGTGACTGGTGTGGAGGAGGACCGTTCTGGACAGTGCAGAGGAACAATGGCGGAGTGGCCAGAAGAGGGAGGGCATCGAACGTGTGGATCTAGATCGCGTTATTGGGAGGGAGAGATGACGGAGGAGAACGTGCGAGTAGCGAGGGTGACCGGGGGCGCAGGCCTCGTCCCAAACGGGATGGCGAATGAATTTGAGTTGGCTCGAGCCTCGAGTCATCTGCCCGCCTCAGTCTCTGCCCGACGGTATATAAGGACCCGCGGTCGTGGGACGGCATTCGTCAACCGCCCCCCAAATCTCATCCACCCCCGACGCTAACGATGTTCCAAGAAGACTGCTGCCTGCAGTGTGGCAAGCCCGTTCAGGTCGACGGGTACGACCCTGCTCTCCTCCCTCTCCCATGACCCTTCCGCATGTCTCACCCTTTACGTCCTCCAACAGCCGCATATACTGCTCAGACGAGTGCCAGAGCTTGGATGCAACCTCCCCATCCATTTCCTCCGCCTCATCCCCTTTCTCCTCCCCAAACCTCAAGGGCTATCCCACGCCCGGCACGGCGGATGTCCCTCCCCTCTTCCCCAACGCTCTCGGCTCTGCCCTTACCTCACACAAGTCCCGTCCGAACCGCTACTCCCTTTCATCCTCAAAATCGTCCCTCATGTGGTACGAGGACGACGACAGCGACAGCCCCGCGATAGCCGTCGAGGACGAGCCCGCCCCAGAGCACAACATCCCCATTCGCCACCAGGGCCTCTCCTACGCCCGTCGGCCCTCCACCACCAACAACCACTCCACCATCCCTCTCCTCCACCGCCACCATTCATCCTCCGCTTCCGGTGGCCAATCTCCCACAAGCGCCTTCGCCTCGAGCTTCACGTCATCCGCCGCAGACGACTCCGCTAACCCTTATCTCCGTCCGCCCTCACCCACCCTCCATTCATCCTCCTCGCCGAGCAAGACCAAGTCCCACCACCACCGTCACGGCTCGCACGACTCCAAAATCGAGGGCACGCAGCAGGAAACGGTGACCTCAAAGCGCAAACGGAACCGCGCCTCCCTCCCCGCCTACTTCTCTCTCCTCTCCATCGGCTCTCCTCCCGTTCGCCCCTCCACGTCCATCACCACCTCTTCCTACTCCACCATGCGTCCCTCACCCACCACACCCCGCATCTCCAACCCTACCGTCGACTCTACCCACGCCATCGCACTCTCCTCCCCGAACTATACCACCACGCCACCCATTTCTTCCGGTCCGGCCTCGGCTGGTGCCCGTCCTTCGTCGTTGCTCGCGAGTATACATACTACCTCTCGCGACGCACGGGAAGTCACCGTCGTCGATGTCGACCCACCGCGTGGACGGGGCCGTCGTCGTGAACCGGGTTCATCACGCCACCGCACCTCGAGTCGCTCCGACTCGCCTTCTCCATCGCGGGATCGCGCTCACTGGGCTCGCAAGACCGTCTCCCCGCCCGCGCGGAAGCATGACGCGGTGGATCTGGATTCGAGGGGCAGGAGGAGACTGGCGGAGTTGGACGGCTGGGAGGGGGATAGGGAGTATGGGTTTGGCAGTGGGAGGAGTGGGTTGCGGGATCGGCAACGCGAGAGGGAGAGGGGACGGGGCAGGGACCGCTAGGAGTTGATGTCTCCGTCAACGATAACTTTGTGCTGCTGCTGCTGCCTCCTCATCTCTTCTACTCTTCCCTTTCCTGCGAAGACAAATCTTGAAGGAGCTCCCTCATCAAGCAAACTATACATATCCAACTATGTAATGAACAGCGCGCGCGCTCGCTCGCTCTTCACCCACCACTCGCCCTATTTATTCGGCGTGCCCGCCCGCGTCGGATGAGAGGGATGGTTATATATCCACTTGATCGTGTTCTTTATACCATCTTTGGGCCCTTTCCTTTCTTCCTCTGGACGTTCTTCTTCTTTTTTTGGAGTTCGTTCGTCGAAGATGTTTCACCCTCCCTCACTTGCCCTCAACGGGCGCATCGACTCACGCACTTTCCCTCCTTCCTTCCTTCCTTCCGCACCTCGTCGTCCTCGTTTCATCCAAAAAAAATGGCGGTTTTCTCGCATTTGTTAGTGGTACTCTAGCTTCATACAATCTATTTATTCCCTTTGTCCCTTTGTTCTTGCCATTGTCATTGCCATTGTCGTATAGACGCCGACGCCTTCGTTTCCCTCTTATCCTCTCCGTTGTGTATACCGTACTTACGAGGATGAGGATATGCGTATACATCACTTTTGACTCGCTCGGTTTTTCGTGTTCGTGTTCGTGTTCGGTGTGTGCACCGTTTCGTTCTGCTCCGTTTCGGTTCGATTCGATTCGTTTTTCGTCTTCGTCTTCGTCCTCGTTTCGTTTCACTTCGTCGCATGCTTGCATCTTCTCAATCTCATTCGAATCTATCATAAAGCATACAACATACAACATATAACATACAACATATAACATACAAACCACAATCAAGGCTCGGTACGAGTACGAGTACGTAGCATACATCATAACAACCAACAAATCATATCGCATTATTTCGCATGGCTCCAACACTTCTGTGAGTGAGTGAGTGTCAATGGGGAGGGGGGGAAGGTGGGTTGTGGTGGGTTGTGGTGGGCCCTGGGGGTTGCTTGGCGGTAAGTTGGGAGTTGTGCCTTGGCGGTAAGTTGGGCTTGGACTTGTGGGGGGCGGGACGTTGTGGGGCAGAGGTTGGTTGCTTTTGTTGGCCTGTTTAGGACGGATCCCTCCTTTCCTCTTGGTCCTTGACAGTGATACTCTAGGCTCTGGCTAGATTGCGTGCACATGCTTATTTTTTGTTTTGGGAACAAGCATGGTATTGTGGACGTGGATGTGGATGTGATCGTCGGTGAGTCCTTCTTACCATCTTGGCCTGTAAGTTTCAACGGGCTCTGACCTCTCTACCCTCTCTACCCTCTCGACCTGCGCTTTGTCTCACTCTCCAAGCTGATATGTACCCCGTTTCTCCGTTTCCTAGGTGTCCGTGCGTCCGTGGATCAATCCGCGCAGACACGTCCTTGTACTTGCTACTGAGATAGCGCATGATGTGCTCTGTGCTCTGTGCGACGTGTTGACAAGTTACCTCCGAGTCCATATGCTCGAGCTCAGATTCTTCCAAAGCGTCACCGACACTATTCACTGACAATGCGTCAGACTTCCACTCGGACAGAACCTCAGCCTGCCATGCATGAGCTCCTTCTCTACCTGGACATTCTAATCTAATCTACCTGTACATACAACCCTGCTACCACTCCCCACCTCCCTGCGCATCTCACTCTCTAAGCTAACCTGCACCCCATTTCTTCGTTTCCTAGGTATTGCGTTTGTGCAGGTCCGTGAGCCCGTGGATCAAATCAACGCAGACATGGTATATCGCACGTCGGAGCACATAGCACATCATGCGCTCTCTCAGTCTCAGTACAAGTCTGAGGACAAGTTACCTCCATATGCTCGAGCTCAGATTCTTCCAATTCCAAAGCGTCACCGACATCATTCATTGACAATTGCAATGCGTCGGACGCTGTCATGAGTACAGAAGTTACAGTCCGAGTCGTCCGTCCGACCACTGCTCTTCCTCGTTACCGTATGAGGAATCAGGATCCGAGTATATGCAGGTCACGGGCTTTTCGACGTTCGTTGCCCTTGGTCATACCAACCGATGTATACACGCATCATAGAGAGAACCCTACATACATCATACATGACGCACCGTGGACGGGTTGGGTTGACGCCTTGACGATTCGGAGTGTTAACCTTTTCTTGGGAGAGCTCACGAGGACGTATGCACGAGCACAGACACACGCACGTCGCACGGGACCCCGACCCCGACATTTTTTCTGTCGTTTTTTGCCGCATGTGGGAAGGATGAAAACTTCAGTTCTCGTGGTCGTGTTTTTTTTTTGCTGTTGTGCACAGGTTTCTGTCGCATCGTTCGTCGTTGACGCCAGATGGGATGCCTATGCACACTGCAGCAAGGGAACAACGAACAACGATCATGTCACCGTGAATCGTGGACGATTGCCAGTGGATGGCGTGCGAACGTGCTCGCTCGTAATTCGTCTTGTTCAGATTCTCTTCCATCATATGCATGATCACACAAGCTTGTCCAGCTGCCCAAGTGCGTCGTCTTCGCACACCCGCCGTGACATGCCGTCTTGCCAGTGAATCTTCGACCGTGGTTCGTTCAGTATTCACTGCCAGCGGGCGAAATGATGGAATGAATGAATGCTTCGTCGACGCGAGGCTGAGGCTATTATGATGCTCACGACGCACGAACAATCCGTCGCGCCTTGCGTATATTGACGCCACCCGCCCCCTCCCACCCCGCGTTTCCTCAACGTTTCACTCGCATGAAATTAGATGAAATTGCAACATGTCCAGTCGGCAGTCGCGTCGCGTCGCGTCGGCCTCGGTGCCTTTTCGGTTCCAACTTCCCGCACGGCGCACGCGATGGAGGTTCAAATCACGCGAACGCCGAGCGCTAAATTTAAAATTGCTGCTTCCAAATCTTATCGGTACTGGTATCGGTAAACGTAAAAACTTTATCGGCGCCGGCTTCGGGATTCGGAGCACGCACGCACGCAATTTTTTATGTTTTTGAGTTACGTAATATATTTACGGGGTCGGCGGGACGACACAGCAAAAGGTGGGGAGGAGACGGTCTGGACTTTGTTTGGCTGGTCGAGGCTTTGGAGGGTCTGGACTGTGGATGATTGCGCTTTGAATTTAGGGGACGGAAGAGAGCATGTGGGAGTTGTTCCGGCGGCGTGAGCTCGAGGAGTGGGATTCGGAGGCGCCCGAGGGGATGGGATGAGGTGATGTCATGGCGACGAGCACGTTGAGAGGAGACCATGCTTGGTTATTCACCGGATTGGAGCGTTGTGGGATGTTTTGGTTCTGGGCACGTTCAAGCAAGAAGTTGCGGATACGGTTGCGAGTTGGGCGGGGACGACGTTGAGGGTGGATTTCGATATTGATGGCCCGGGTGATGCTAACTTTTGCGAAGGCGGTGGTGGCGGTGGATGCAAGGTGGATAGGTGAGTGACTTTAGACTCGGAGTTCAAGTTGTTCCCGTTCTCATCACGGTTGGGGATGGCGTTCGCTGACGAGTCTTGTTGGTCCATGTGTTTTATAGCTCAAAGATCATACCCATAGGCTACTAAGTGCGCAACAGTATGCCCATCGGTGGTTCATGCTTCGGGACCCCAAGCGTTGATTTATGCTAATCTTGCCTATCCAGATGTTCGCGGCCGACCTGCAATATATAATATCTCCCGGTCAAATGTATGCGCTTTGAATGCCCAGAAAGGAAAACGGAGAATCCACATCTCCAAATCTCTTCAGAGCCTTCATATCCGCGCGGTCGTTGAAAACAAACGGACCCCCGCGCAGCCGTCCCCTCCAACGATATACCCATACTCAACTAACACCGGCGGACATCTTTATGATGGTCGAGATGCGGACGTTGTCACAGCAGTACGTTGTGGGGCTTGATACAACCTGGATGGTTTATCCCTCTTGGTGTGGATACCATCCAGAGTTGCTCGCGGGGAACCGTTTTGACCGCGGTCGGCGGGATGGCTGTCTTATCGATGCTCAAAGTCGATGCCACAGTGGCGTTGAACGTTTCGTCGCTCGTAAGGTTCATCTTTCACTATAGAGTTTTCTGTGGCCTGGAGGTTAGGAGACTGCCGAGCTCCGTTTGCGCGGTGTTAATCATTCGGTACGTGTACTGGATGAGATGCGTTCGGTATAGGTATGGCGGCATGGTTTGCGTGGTAAAATCATTGGATGTCGAGTATTGCCTGGTGTCGAGATCAACGTTGGATCAAGGTGACAGGATTGAGGATGCTAGAAGGTGGCGATGGCCGCATGCCCTAGTCTGGTCGGTCAAGGTTACGCTTCATGCGGTACGTAACACTTGATTTTGGGTATATCGCCAGTAAGTATTTCTCTCTGAGTTGTGTCTTTGCCCTCAGAAACTGACGGACAAACGCATACATCAGGTCATTACCCAGGCTCGTTCTCCAAATACTATTTCCTTCCAGCAGACGTACTCGGAAAGACCAAGGTGCGCAAGTCCGATCTCGTGCTTCTAGTCATCTATCGCGGCACGTAGCTCATTTCTCAACCGTCTTATATCCTCGCTTGAACGGTCTGACGTGGAATATTCTCCGTTTAGAGCAAGGCGTCCTTATAGATACTACCTCTATGATATTCGTCTTGATGGCAAGTATGATATATCTCTAAGACTCCGACCCGAACCCCAGCCTCGCTTATATCCTTGATGGTCGGTGACTGTCGGTGCTCTGCATGACCCTCATACTCATGGGTCCAGGAGACGGTTAATCAGCAGCAGGAGGACTTGAAGGTACTTTCTAGGGAAGACAGCAAATATTATGGTGACGATTGAGAGCCATCGGTAGCTAGTTTGCCGTCTATTCAGCGAGGTACGCCGACATCTGATTGTAAGCAGTAGCTGATGTGCATGTTCTCCAGGCCTCAAGCACTTCGACCGCCGAGTTTAGATAGCCAACGGTCCATGAAGTGCCTAGTTTCGGCTGTTCATCTTCATCATTCGCTTGACGGTATCCCCCAGCACCCCTAGTTAGGTACTCCCCCTTAGCCCCGATTCTTGTACTAGGATATTGACGGCCTTGGTCCGAACTTTTTGATAGGCCGGTGCGCAGAGCTTCAATTTGTGGTGGTGGCGTCCATTAACGCCACTGGCCCAGAGACAAGAACTTACATCATCTCCAGGAAGTCATTTACACCGGTGACGCCTGGGGCATCAATGCGGGTAAGTTCGTGGGTTGTCGCGAGCAGTCAGGCGGCGTAATTCTGATAATAGATCGTGTCATAACATTCTTCCGAGAACGAAAAGTTATGCTTGCCCATGGCGAAAACTTTCCAGAAATTTGAGAAAGTGCTCTTGCGGCCTTTCGATGATACCTCTGGCGTTTTCGGAGTGTGAGCCGATGCCGTCTTCTCGCGCTCGTGAGACGGATATCTTCATTCTGAACTCCTCCTATTGACCATCTGGATATAGAACGTCCAATGCTTACCCAAACATTCTAATCAGACGTGTATTTCTGGTCTTCCTAGAGTGTCTATCTCAAGGCTTATATGCGTCACAGGCTGCTTTTCTGGGGTCCTATACCGATGGCCACGGTACTATTCCTGGACTTTCATTGCACAGGAATATTCATGGTCTGTTCGCACAGGAACCTCGCTTTTCGTCTCATTTCCGTTCTCTTCCCGCCAACGCAAGCTTTGTCTCTTCAGGTTAATCTCGGACGACGATCATGCTTCACTTTGATCTGCCGCTGCCAGTGGCAAATATACATCGGAACCCGGGCCCGTACTCGAAGGTACGTTACTCCATCCTTCTCGCGTTCTATTCGGTCTCACACAGAAATCCTCGTCGGGTTGACTATATTCAGTCTATAAATTATACTCGGAGGTTAGACCTCGTGATATCGCAAGTCGTTGCGGATCCCTCGAGTCGCCCTCCAGAATGGCAAGAGAAAGCGTCCGTATGGAAATCATTCTTTGTCGGGCCGTAGATGCCTCTGGTTTCCACCACCGGCGCGAAATGACGGTGAGTCCCTGTGAAAATCAATATAAAATACTTGGCCTGCTTAACTTTGGTACATGCTTTTACCATACTACGCCCCGGCCAGACACGATGAACACATGAATCACGCTTTATATAGGTGTGTCCAAATATATGCTCAAATTGATCTGAGCTCTTCTGGCTCCTCTGCTTAAGGATTATACTGAAGACTCGCCGCCTAGGAGCTACCTGTACACATTATGGAGGGTTGGAGGTGTGAAGAACAAATCCCAGAACCTACTCAAACCTCGTTAGGATGTGAGTCCTACCCACAACCTACTTGTGACGCAGTTCCGCCGTTGCTCCTTTCGCGCCGAGCCATCATTCTTCTCTTTTCGTGCTCTTTGCTTCTGGCATACAACCATTCCTCACGGTACTCTTACTTTTCATCAGCGCCCGGACACTAATCCTAACGTATAGCGGAGCAGGTCAAGACCGCGACCTCTGTAGACCTCCAATCCCAGCAACTCCGATTGTCTCGCTGTTCTCATGCCCTTTCCTTCGGCGTTCCCACCGATGATAGAACCATTTGATTGTGAGTTTTATAGTGAATGCTACTTTCAACACTATGGGCTTGTGCGCTTACTTTTTTAGACCTATAGGTTTAGAGTTGTTAAGTGTATAGGGTTAGTGGGATTGAGTACGATAGATCCCGTGTGTGGACAGAACCCCGGCCACCGTTGACGGTGCGCTTTCTGATGCTTATGTTCTATGGTGCGTCGTGGTTTTGTTTCGTTCGCCACGGCGATTGTGTTCCGGGTGTATACGCGTCGAAATGGATGGGGTCTCACTGCCTTCGTCTGTTTTTTTTTTCTTTCCATCGTTTCATTCCCTCGAGCTCGTCCTCTGTTTTGAAAGGGTCTCGACTTCGGTCGCTAGTTTGTTCTGTGCGCGTTTGCCTGGCAAGGTAGTAGGGTGTTTGTTGCGCATTGTTCTCAAAGCGGTTCAGCAATGGAAACTTTTTTCTTCCTGTGCATATTAGGGTTTGGCAAGTGCTGTGCATGTAAAGGAGGACTGTTTTTATTCGAAAGAACAACAGAAACCCTGCCTTTGTATCCGAATATCGCCCGCAGTGCCTTACTTGCCAGATATGAGCAATACTCGTTCAAGTTTCAGCTGGAGGCTGTTCACGTCCTTGAATTATATGGTTTGCATGATACTACAGAAAGAAGGTAATACAGTGTAGAGGAAGAGGAAGTTGTACAGTAAGTATGGTATATAAGTGAATGTAAAAAATACAGAGACATTGTCCATGTAGTCCGCAACGAAAGGGTTGTTCGCCTACTCTTCATACATCCAGCTCGTTAAGTCTGAGATCAAAACAAATATAGTCGCGTTCCCAACCACCATAAAATCCACTAGGATATAGGCGGACTCGGCCCAAAGAAGTCCTTGCCCAAACCAGGGCTTCTCCTGAACCGCGCTGTCACCTTGATGGGCATAGGCTCCGCAAGTCGAACCTCACCTTGTTGCCCATAGGCTCGGGCTAAGATCTCTTTGCTCGCAACAGTGTCGCTGTGGGTGGGACCCAAGACACTCTCTCGCACCGCCACCACCTCCAATAACAACCTTCGAACGTCGTCGTGACGATGCAGATGAGCATAAGCTGCTCCAAGGTCGAGCATACTCTCCAGAGTATCTGCGTGCGAAATACCTAGGACTCTCTGTCTCGCTTCGACGACACCCGCCCATACGGCGGAGGCCTCCAAATAGCGGCGAAGCTGGTACAGTGTGTGGGCGAGGCGATCTCGACTTGAGAGTGTGGTGAGATTATGGGGGCCGAGAATGTTGATCCTCCTGGCTGCGACATCCTCGAACAGGTCGACGGCTGACTCGTGTCGACCAAGGTCGGTATACATGACCGCCAGTAGATGAGCACTCTTGAGAGTTTCGATGTTGTCCAAACCGAGAACCTCCTTCCGCCCTTCCACGACCTCCTCGAAGATCACTGCTGCATCCGTATATCGATGAAGATGGTTGCCGTACACGGCTGCCAGGAAGTGCATGGTGCGTAGAGTATCCGCGTGTTTGGGACCAAGAGATATCTTCCTCCTTTCCACTAACTCCTCGTACAACCGCGCCGCTTCAATATAACGATTAAGGCGACCGGCGAACAACGCAGCCAGATATTGCTTGGTCTGTAACGTGGCTGGATGGTGTGCGCCAAGATGTGTGGCTCTCGCTGAGAGTACTTCCTGGTACAGCTCGGCGGCGTCGCTGTAGCGGCGTAGCTTCGCGTACACGGTCGCCAGGTGATTCGTACTGTCCATAGTCTCGAAGTGGTCGGCCCCAAGGGTTCTTTTTCTCAGTTGAACGACCTCCTCGAAGAGTATTGCGGCCTCGGTGTATCGCGCGAGATCTGCATTGACGGAAGCAAGCATGTGCATAGACCGTAGTGTGAGGCGGTGCTCGCCACCGAAAACCCTCTTCCTCCCCTCCACAATATCAGCGACAAGATCCAAAGCCTTGTCGCTCTGATTGTACTTGACGTACTCTGTGGCGAGACAATGCATACTGTCGAGGGTGTCGACGTGATATGGTCCCAAAGCCTTTCTCCTTCCCGCCACGACCTCCTCGTACATCTCCGCGGCTTCGACGTGGCGTTCCAATGTGGCCCACATGGCAGCGAGATGGTGGGCGATGTCCAAGGACTCGACGTGCTCGCGACCAACAAGCTGCTGGCTGACCTTCCAAGCCTCCTCGTAGAACTTTGCGCCGTCCGCATAGCGTTTCTCTTGAGCCGCGTCGTCTGCAAGCGCCAAAAGGTCTTCTATCTCAGTGTCGAGAGAATCAGCCATGGAAGATGTGATGCTCAGAGTCTCATCGTCAGAAGTGGGGAGGTCGAGAGGCTCTGTGGATTTCGGCCTAATGAAGACCTCTGGCAATCTGGGGCCTGTGAAGTAACGGTGAGATTGTTGCATAAAAATAGATGGCGATAACGATGCGTACTACTGGCTTTACTCGCTGGGACCGCTCTGAATTCATGGCCTAAGAGGGAGCGGTCAGACAGCGGTATGAGATGCGTGATATGATACCAAACTGACCGTATGAATCGGGCGCCGCGGGGGCTTTCTTCAGATCGTCCTGGATTCGGGCAAACGACGGCCTTGAATCTGGTCGTGCATCCCAGCACTCCACCATCAGTTTTCCGACAGTGGTTGTGCCTTCGATCCCCGGGGGCAGTTTTGGGCGTATTTTCTTCTTTTGAACCGTGTTGGGGATTTGGAAGTCGGGGGTGTCCGCGTAAGGCACTTTTCCGGTGAATATCTGTAGCATAGAATTAACATGGCAGACGCTCTATCTCAGGAATACGAACGAACCTCCCAAGCAGTGATCCCGAAACTATATACATCACAGGCTTTGTTGGGTCGCTCGACGTTTGCATCAGAGTCGAATAGCTCGGGCGCCATCCATCGTATTGTGCCTTGTAGCGAATTTGAAGTGGTTGACATAGAACGATTGGGGTCATCGTCTACAATCCGTGACATCCCAAAATCCGCCAAGAGGGCGTGACGGTCGTCTCCCACGAGAACGTTGGCCTAGCGAAGTGGACTTAAGATTGTATTGAAAAGCCGAAGAAAATAATGCTTACGCCTTTAAGGTCACCATGCACAACGTCCTTGCGGTGGAGATACGCCATACCTGAAGCAATGTCCGCGATCTGAAAAGGGTATACTTAGGCAACGCGGAGAGTGCTCAAGTGTAGAAGTCTACTGACCAACGACAATCGCTCTTTTCTCCCACACTCATGCTTCTTGATGTACTGATTGATATTGCCAAACTCGCAATACTGACTGACCATGAATGGCTGCGTCAAGGCTATGGTCAGAACGTTGAAAAGCGCTATAAAAATAAAGCTTACCTGTTCTACGCTCATGCATGCTCCATAGAACCGCAAAATATTAGGATGCGAAAGATTTGTCCTGGAGATGTCTCAATGGTCAGACGCGAATGAGACCAGTCCTCTCGAAAAACATACCAGACATTGACTTCCTTCAAGAAAGCCTATAGAGTAATTAGAAATGTCTCGGCGCACAAACATTTATGGTCGACATACCTTGCGCTGCTTCTCGACACGTTTCTCATCCTTGGCGTTCTGCAACGTCATCTGTTTCACCGCGACATCCTTACGACAAAGAATATTAGATTAGTATCTCTTTCTTGCCACGAAAAAAATGGAGGAGCGCACCCTGCCATCCCATTCTCCGCGATAAAGGCTACCGAAAGACCCACAACCGATGCAGTCAATCTTCGCGAAACTGATTTCGAGACTGGTGATGTTCCATACGGGAGGGGCACATAGATTGCTGCCGTTAAGAGGTCGTGAGTGTCTTTGCAGTGTCTCCAAGGCCTTCCTGATAAACCTTTCCTGGACAGAAGGGGATTTCCGCTCCTCGCCAAGTTCGGATACGTACTGACGGGATAGAAAAATGGATGTGAATAACGAATATAAAGCGCGATAACATTACCAATACCTGTGTAAGACCGACAAGTAGGTCTTCTATTCGCCGCTGACGACCCTCCTGGACATTCAGTACTTTTAGAATCTTGTGGTCGTATCTGGAAAGATGGTGCAAGTATTTGACGAGCTCTGATTCATCTTTCTCCCGCGCTTCTTCCATCAGTGCTTGCTGATCGGCGAGTCGTAGATGGGCCACAATCTATAACAAGTGGTGTAAGCGAATTCTGGGTACATGGAATTTACAGAGAACCCACGTTGAAGCGCTGAACGGCATCGTTGATAGAGTTCGAAGCACTTGAGAGCGCTTCGTCGATTGCTCCGGTATTAAGCAAGCACCATAGGAAACCCTTTTCACTGAGCCTCACAACTGTGTTTCCCGCCGTTTGTGTAGTTCTATGGATAATGATGGCCATTCTTATCAGTATCGATGAATACTACAAACCGCGAGGAAACGCACTGCAAGATCTGAAGAAGGCTGTCATGCAGCGGCTCAGTCCGTCGCTCCATTAGAAAGTTGGCCATCTCCCGCATGAGGACCTCACAGCGACTCAGAAGACATTTTAGTTGACTTCGCCGGCTTTCGATGGAGTCGCATATGCCCATCGCCCTTTCCAAAGCACTCCATGCGAAGCTGAATGCAGGATAAGCGCCAATAACGACTGCGATAACTTCAGCCATATGGAAGGTTGGGAGTTAGAGGGAAACGTTCCGTGGACTTTCATCGAGGTAGACGAGTCAAGTTATAGAGTACATGGATTGCGCGCTGCACAGCTCATGTTGGTCCGATGGCCAGATGATGCACAGCTGTCCATAACTGGATACAAGGATCCCTATGGTCATACCAGAATAAACTGTGCGATAAATGGTCCGTATGACTGACCCATAGAAACTGTGAGAGCGCACCTCGAAGATGCCGTCACTCTGGGCCCTCGGTCGATGAGCCGGTTTTCCTTCAAGGACGATATCTTGTCTTGATCAGTCTACATTTAGAAGGAGTGAGTCAGATTGCGCTCCCCAAGACTCCGTTTCTCAGAGTTGAGGCGATGACTAGCGCTGACTACGTATCATCTGGTCAGTTTCGTTTCTGAGAGGTTTCTTCGTGTTAGGACTCGTACCTGTTTTTGCGCACTGCATCAATGACACGAGGCCATCTTGTACAGGATTCAAGCTGCTTCACTCACCTGAGGTCATCTATACGTTGGTATTGCAAGCGGTATTGCCACGTCGATAACTATCGTACACCATCACCCACCGGCAGCATCGAGTAAGCCGCATCGTGAACTGAAAAACTGAGTGCTCGTGCTCCATGAATGCGTTTCGACGGCGCTTCTGGATGTTCTCGATGACGATCTCACAGATAAGACATCATGTAGTAGGTGGTGCGTCAGAGACGGAAACTTACTACCCGAGTCATTAGGATCGTCTTTCAACGGGTGCCACAAGACTGGCGGACGAGATATTCATTCTATGACGACCTAGTACTTATAGGCGCTATACCATTCTAAGATCTCTAAGAGGACCAGCATCTGTATGGATCTATGGCAGTGGTTGCAACAGTGCTTGGTCCGGAGAGCGCTCACATATTTAGATTGCCGCCGAGAAAGTACCACGAACGAACTGGTCAGCCACAAATACACTACTACTATCGAACAGATAAATAAGAACTCACTTTAGCGCTAAATAGAGGTTACTATAGTAGGGTCAAACTTCTGCACCGACTGTTCGCTGGTCTGAGGAATGCCAAGAGCTATTGGCGCTCAAGCTGTCCTGTCTACTTACTCGAGAGGTGACGGTTAGCTGGAATAAGCGCATCATGCACGGTGTACTGCATGCATATGTTGTTAGTCGACCTGTCTTGCCTGGTGATGAATCATGAAGTTGGACCCGCCCTTGTCGATTGGTTGTCGACGTCGACAGAAAGATCGGGACACCGAAACCTCGGGACTCGGACGGTTCAGAGGCCGCTCCTCGATGAGGCGACGAATTCTCACGGATACTGTAGTCATCCATCGACGACAGAGCAAAGGATTAGGCTGATGATAGACACGATGCTGTGTTAGCCTGTTGCCTACTTCTAACCAACTGTTAAACGATGATTGAAACGACAAAATATGAAAAAGCCTGATTCTAAAGGAAAACAATTACTTGATTCGACCCAGGCTCGAACTGAGGACCTTCTGTGTGTTAGACAGATGCGATAACCAACTACGCCATCGAACCCTTGGTGTTGAATTAATATCGCAAAAGAGGATTTGAAGCGGCAGTCAACTTCGTGATATCATACGCATTTGAACGGCTACGCTCAACGAGTCATGCTATCAACATGCTATCGTAAATTATGTTTGTGACTCTTGTCATTGAGAGGCCCATTCACAGGACTGGGAAGACGAGAAGCAAGGTACGAACAGGATAAAGTGGGATAACATGGCTACGAATCAAACCAAAGGATCAACGCAGAATAGCAACGGGAGGTCATGTTTCTCTGAACCGGGATTGTCAAACAACTGAGACAGGTGTACACCAACATCATCTCTCCTTGCGAGCGCCACCACCACCGCCACCCTTGCGAGCACCACCGCCACCGCCGCCATCACGACCTCCGCTACGACCACCTCCACCACGAACGCCCCCGGGCCTAGCACCTTGACCACCTTGATTTCCTCTATCGCCTGGCGTCCGACCAAATTTACCTCCACGTCCGCCACGGTCGCGTCCAGAGCCTTCACGAGACATGTGAGGAGGCGGACTCGGAGAAGCAGTCCTCGGCGGCGTCGGTAATGGCTGAGACGGCACCGGTGCTAAGTCGCCCAAAAGCTTCTGCAAACAGTCCAAAACCACCCCAAGCACGACCCACCCAAAGCTCTGTATACCTTCCATCTCACCACCATCCTGTCCGGTGCCCCTCTCTGCCTGCATCCGCAAAGCCCAAACATAGGCGTCCCAAGCTGCCTTCAGCCCTTGCTTCAAAGTCTGTGGATCCGCTTTCGTAGGATCAGCTACGAGACGTTGGCGGATGTCCTTGACAAGCATGCTGGTGTGGAGTTTCATGTAGTATGTACGACCTTTGCGCCAGCGGGCTTGTGTACAATTTGAAAGAATGGCACCGATAAATACTTCTTCTTCTGTGAGGATGTCGGTAGGTGCGTCGGTGAGCGTGTGTGTCACGCGTATGTAACGCAGTTCGCGGGCATATTTGGCGAAGAGTGCTTGTGGTGTCCTATCTAAAGCACCGTCAATGCCCGCATCCGACCCTGCCATACTTCCAACGGTGGAGATGGATGATGGCGCCACATAGTCGAGGAGCACATGCTGAACGCGTGGTGCGATCGCTAGGCAAATCGGATCCATGTCTGGATTGGTAGGTTTAGTGGGCACATCCAAAGGGACACCCTTCTGGGTAGGCATGAGCTCAATGTTCCTGAAAAGATGACCAAGGGCTCGATCCGACTCGTAGTAATCGTTCTCGCGAGGGCCTGAGACTTCGGCTTGATGCCAATCAGGTTTGAAGCGGCTGAGTGACCTCGGGAGGTCTGAAATGTCGACCGGCTTTCCATTCTTGGGGTAATCTACGGCTTGCGAACAAAGCTCTGCAAGGAGCATGCAGCGGTGGTCGAATGTGCCCTCCTGTAGCCCATACTTGTAAGCAAGATAATAGAAGACGGGATGTACAACCTACCCTGGATTGATCTGTAGCGAGAAAATGCATCATCAGACGGGAAATCCAAGCCTGAATATGATGGCCGACTCACCGGCGATGGTCAGATGTTTATCTGAGAGCAAACCCTATACCAAGACGATAAGCTGGGAGAAGCTAGGGAATAACAGGGGATACCCACCAGAACATCGGAATTGATATACTCTACGATGAAGTCACAGATGTCATCCACCGTAGCATCGCGATCAAGAGTTCTGGTTCCCGCGCCAGTATAGTCCGCGGGTTGGCTGTGCACCTCCGGCATCAAGCTTCCGTTGTCGATGATGATATCATACTGATCACTGGACATATGAAAGAGAATGTCGAGTGGGCACTCTCAGCTACGGGAACAGTGGACGGCGGCAGCAGTACGTACCCATCGAGATCACCTCCACCAAGCATAGATGCTAACGAGCGGTCCGTATCCGACGATGGATCAGCTGGAGGTAAATCACTCAGTTCTATATCCTCCTAACATCACAGCCAGCAAAGCAAGGCATGTCACGGACCCACTGAAGGAAGGACGACGAGGTTCTTGAGGTCCTTGAAAAAACATATTTTGTCTTTTGGAGGTTCGCCGACGGCCCATACTCGCTGAACTGAATATTACCCGGTCTGTCGTCAGGATAGGAATACGGAAAGAATGGAGGGCTTACTATCGCCGGGATGGACCACCGGACTTCTTGATATCATGCAAGGGCCTTTCAGGAACTTCGTTTCACTACCTGGACCCTCTTGGACACATGCTTTACAAATATCTGTTAGACAGGCGTCGAGTTCGTAAGTAAAGTGAAGCGACATACCGAAGATACATCCCGCCGGTAAGGTATACACACTGTCCTTATCCAGGCCCTCGCGAATATATGCCAGGCCCTCGTCTGCACATCCAACCAACTTGTAACTACCAGGAACAGGTATCTGAGCCTTATGCTTAATATCTCTTAAGCATCCGTTCATAGCAAAGCGAAGTACGCGGCCAAGAAATGCGTTCTCGATAGCTTTGCTACCATCTCGATTAGTCTCTTTGAAGTCAAGACCAAGTTTGACCAGTTGCTCGAGAATAAAGGGCAGGTGATAACCAAAACCCATACCGTGGGTACGGAGGAGAGAGACGAATTTCTCGATGGAGTCCGATGAAGTGTAGATGAGCGACTTTGTCTGTTCCTGAAGGCTGATGAATGACTCCTTCCGGACGCCGCGATCCTCCAGAATCATAACGAGGGCTCTAGATAATCGAACGAAGCAAGCTCAGGAAGATTGAAAACCTTGCAGATGTGTGCCAACATACCTGTTGAGAGAAAATGAATTTGGACGCTCAAAGGCGCGAGCAATCTCAAGCCAGGCATCTTCGTCATTATCAACAACGAACTTCCGCATGGAGGGTCGAAGGCGCATCTTGATCCCCACAAGACGATGATCAATGACGACCATACCCTTATATCCGAGAAAACTAAGAATGCCAAACGATTTATTTTCAGAACTTTACAGAAGACGACTTGAAAGAAACGCACCGAATCTGATACTAAGGGGTTGCGGCGGTGATAACATCATCTTCAGAGGCTGACAAGTTTATCATAAACGAGGTGACTTACAGCAGAAGGGCGCACAGTGTTCCCACCGTGATCCAACCTGCTCTCACAAAGCTCCGCCCAAATCATACCCCCTAGTTCAAGCGAAATCGTGCCCACACCGTCAGTGTGAAGATACCGGTCGTCATCACCGATGTCCTCCATCTCCTCCCACTGATCCCTTGTGACCTTGACAGATGGGTCCGTCGCGGTAAATGCCTGTGCAATGCGGGCTGCGTACTTTGAGGGTTGACGGATGACGTTGGAGAAGTCTCCAAGGGATTGCCGGATATAGTGTCCATTGACGTATGTTCCGGAATGAGAGGGATGAGACGAAGGGAGGTGAAAGGGGTGAACAAACCACACTGCGTGTTCTCGTAGAGCAGATGTAGAGTACGCAAGAAACTCAAAGTCTCGACCGGCGAGCTCGAAGCCGTTCTTGAGGATATGACCGACTCGTTGTTGGAGGAAATATGTACCTTTTGACGGAAAGGGCACATCGTCAGTCAATGGAAGGTTCTCGGCAAGCCCAAAAGCAAACATTTACCATCAACATCACGGTCCCACCGATAAGAAAGCCTTTATTACTTCAGTACACTGAGAGGGCGGTCAGGATCGAAAGCCATACCTATCTTCATCGCGAAAGTCAACTCTGATGAAATTCTCCGTGAAAGTAGGGTCGATCTCCTGGTATTTACGAATGACCCGATTGCTTTGAGTCGGATTTGGACCTTCCAGTATTGTACGCGTCGGCGTGAAGGTGATATGGTGGCAATAAAAGTGACCTTTCGACAGCTTCAACCGCTGCAAGAGTGCCTTCCGGTGATCAAACTCTCCCACAACTCGTTTGAACATCGCCACCGGCATGTCATTGGGGCCTCTGCGCGTCTTGAGCTCCTCTGCGAATTTGCTCAAGATGATGCTGGCATCCGAGCCATACTTGACGCAGATCTCATCGATCGGGCCCCGAAGGTCTCCTAAGAGGTCTGTAGTCGTCAACAAGGTATTGCGCAGCAACAGCTCGATCTGGAAGGCATTCCTCCACTCAAGCCGCATAAGCCAGTTTTTCATCCAGTAAAGCTTCTCCGCAGAGAAGAACCCCATCTTGCTACATTCTATGCCGGACTTCGGGATTACCGGTCGCGGCTCTATGGCCGCTATCCGACATAGTTGTTCAAAGCGGTCGATAGCGTTCGACTCGAAGAAGATAACGCGAAGATGATGTGCATATGGAGTAACACGTGCGTGAGCATCATCGAGAGCAGAGATGCGATCGCGTTCTGCATCTTGTTTCCTCCGGACGATCCCTTCGCGAGGTCGATTGTTGAAGCTACTTTCCTCCAAGATGGGCGGAGTGGCGAGGTCAAACACAATGACTAGAAAATGCATGAAAAATCGGTATAAGGCTCTGAGCATAACATGGAAAACTTGCATGCATATCCGAAGTCGTGGCCCATCGCCATAACACGAATACTAGACCATCTGATAATAATGCTATAGCGGTCTTCGTCGGTGGCTCGATTACCCAACTACGCAAGTTTATAAGTAGGGGGAACACTTTCACTGAAAACAGAAAATTTACAACATACATCGATGTGTATATCCTTGTGGTCGTAGCTCATGTCGAGCCACGCAGTCTTGTTACCACTGACGAACTCCTGCTCGTATTCAGCCGCAAACATGCGAGACAGACCAGGGCCGGGCCTGTAAAGTGCACCAAATTGAATCTTCTCCACTCTGAGACGATCTTGGGATAGCTGATGAACAATGCGGTCGCGGGCCTCTTGCTTCTCAGGACCTATTCATAAGCCAAAGTCCCCACGCCATACAAATTGAGCATCGATATTTCGAGCAAAAGAAAAAAGAAAATAAGACAAGCTCACCGACATAGATCGATTTCTCCAGCATATCCCTGAAGTTATCCGTCACACCTCTCTGGCTATGGGAAACGTAAATCTTCTTCCGCAATACCTTGACACAATTGCCATCTTCTCTTAACCAACGTCGAAACCGATCTCCAAATTTCCGGCTGTGCAAGGTCAGCTTTCCTGTTCCATTGTTCCCTACGCCCCCGGCCTCGCTCTCCTTTAGTTCGACTACAAAATTCGGCGGGCGTCCTCTTTGCCATTGGGTTATATCATTCGGATCGAAGAGGTCAGGTCCGTGGAGGACTTTCTCAAAGGCCTTGATGACTTGATACTTGGACGCGTCAAAGTGGACACGGCTCAAGCTCAGCTCCATGGCGCCCAAAGAGTGACAGAACTAGATGAGAGTGAAGAGCAGTACAATAGGTTGTGGTGGTCGACCTTTAAGAAGCAACATAATGGACAATTCTGTGGCGCATCCTGGAAGTTGTGTCCAAACTCAGACAAACGATCAACATCGGAAGGTGCCGGACACACTGCGCCACCGCCACAGCTCATTCAGTAAATTGGCATCCGAAAACTGACAGCTTATTGTGGACATATGGACTTCGGCTGTGCTACATAATACAAACTATCGCTGTCATCCCAGCCTCACGACATTATGGTCTCAGATATTGCACGTATCAATACCGGAAGCTGCGTCCCCGCCGCAGGGTTGCTTGCGATGAAAGGCCGCCCCACTACGCTCGTCTTCCTCCCTATATCCTCCGGAGAAATCGCAAGTTCAAACTCGAAAGAACGAATCATGGTAAACAGAAGATACTTCATTCTGAAAACCAAAGCCAAATGCGACGAGAAGTCAGTGATGAGTTTGCACAGTAGGGGGGCAGGCAAGTCGAGCAGACAAAGGACGTGTAGGCAGTAGGCAAATGTATGAGACTGAAGGGTAACGGGTACGCACTCAACGATGGAGAATCGGTACCCGATGCAGGCGTGTGGGCCGCTGAGGAATGACATAAGATTGCTCCAGACTCCGGGTACAGAGTGGACTTGAGCTTCTGTCTTGGATTTGTTGTCATTCAGCCATCGCTCAGGCCTATTCACGCGCGTGAGATCAAATAAGATTCAACGGATGGTCAGAATAAATAGTGCCAACTAACTTGAACTCTTCAGCATCTTCACCCCAGATCTCCTTCGACCTGTTGATAGCACGTATTGGAAGCTTGACGATGTCACCTTCTCGCAACCTGCCAATATCAATTCGCGATTTCAGTGAACTCAACAGCACTACGTTGCGATTGTGATCCTTTGGATCTAACCTACCTCAGATGATCCATCACAACACCGTTCTTATCCCTGGATCCACTGCCGCCCAAAGGAACCACACAATCCCTCACAGCAATCCTCTCCGATTGCGCCACCGGTGCGTGCAAGCGCATGACCTCTCGGATGACACCGTCGAGGTAGGGTAGGGAGTTTATCTCGTCCATTGTCGGAGAGTCTGCTGGGCGTTGCATGATCTCGGAGCGGAGCTTGGTTTGAATGTGAGATTGAACGGATAGTGCGAAGATAGTCCATGTGAGGGCAGTACTGTGGCCATCGCGGTCAATGCGGTTAGAACCCTATCAGGGGATGTGGGAAGGAGCGTACCTTGTGGTTTCGTGACCGGCGACTAGTATGGTAGCTGGGTGTCATGGCAGAATGTCAGCCAAGTATGGAGTGGGCTAAGGACAGTGCGACAATGTACCAATTTCTTTAGTCCATAACGTCAACAAGATATGATCAGCGTATGTTTCATGTATGTACACGACGTTCGATTCGCGAAAAACAGAGGACTCACGTGCCAAGATTTCTTCCTCCGTCATCCTCTCTCCTTCCGCCAGATCTCCCGCCATATTACTCTTGATCAGTAAACTCAGTAAATCCCTCCCTTTCACGTCTTGTTTTCCGACCTTCGCATCAACATCAGGGTTGATATGAGGGATACCGGCGGATCCGAGAACCTCGGCCTTCTTCGATGCGATGAGTTTCGAGCCGATACGGCGCATGGTCTTGAGCGAGGCTGCAGAGATTCGGGAACGTGCGGTGGGCTGTAGTTGAAGATTGTTGGCGTGGAATACGAGAGATGATCTGGATGAAGGGATGTGAGGTTGTGGGGACGTACGATAATACGCGTAATAGGGAAGAATAGTTGGATTGCGAAAGAAGGCTGAAATGGGTTGAATTTTTGCACCGAGCGAATGGCTTCGTAGAGCTCGTTAGTCTCCTCATCTGAGTCATTCGAGAGGGCGTCAAAAGCGTATTCGAAGCCTATCGTATGGTGTCAATCAGTTACAGGCGGTTCCGATGTCCAAGAACAATAGAGACTGGGGTAATTAGCATGGTACGAACCGGCGAGGCCGATGATATCGAGCGTGACCTTGTTCAACCACTTGAAGATGTCTACTTCTAGTTTTCCATCTTTGCGAGAAGTTGCTTGAAGTTTATTAGTGAGAACATCTCTCATCTAATCGTAAGGAGTCAGTTGGCTGATATCGCCGGTAGGTTCGAATTTTCTCACCTCGAGTGACTTCTGCAAGAAGACTTCCGAGAGCAGTCGTACTTGAGCAGGGCCGAAAGCGGGGTTCTGGTTTTGAATCACCAAAGGGAGGAGAGAGAACCATCAGACGCAATACTCGGGCGAGATCGTGCTAGGCTCGCACACGTACCATAATTTTGCGCTGTTCAAGCCAGGCCAGTCAGCTTATAGTCCCCCAAAATGCATGGTGATTGGGATGGATAACGAACCTGTTTGCGGTGCAAGTCGCCTAAAAATAGACGTTAGTGGCGTCTCATTAAGACGGGATACAGATGTTCAGTCAGGCTGAGATTAGCGCCGTACCTTCCGAGAATAGTAGGCCTGTAGCATGCGAGTCAAGGTTCGTAATGTCAGCATTTCACACTCCAACGCCAACATGAGCCACGAAAAAAGCCTAACCTTTCCCCACGACTTGACCCAGTACGAACCGTAAGCCTTTCGATCGTTCGAAATCTCTCGACGACAATATATGCGCCAGCGCTTTTACGTCCAAAACATACACTTTCGGTGTCTGTGAAGTGAGCTGAACTGAGTACCACAGCAAATCACGCGTGCAATCCGAAGACAGAGCGTACTCACGCTCAATAGCGACCGAAAGACGAAAGTGTTGCTGTATTCTCTCGCCCATTGTTCCATCATGCGATACGCATTTCCCTCTGACGTGTCTGCGAAGCTTCCACGCAAAAAGGATAGGGAAGGTGGGCCAGGGAGATCGCGCAGTGGTGATCTGCTGAATTTGAGATATGAGGCAGAAAAGCGATAGAGAACGTAGACGAAGGCAGATATCGCAAGGATCTGCAAACCGTTGTACAACGTGATCGTCAAACCGAGAATTGGCATGGTCAACGGATGGTCAAGCAGAGGTTGACCGTTGAGAGTTGTAGTCGAAGTTGGGCTCATGTGTCTAAAAAAACGGAGCTATATGTATCCACGCCAACTCGCCTTCAGCTCGAGCGCACGGCTACAGTAGCAGGCAACAAGATGTGAGTCCCATTGTACCAAGAATAGCAGAGTCCCATTGTACCAAGAATAGCAGAGTCACATTGTACCAAGAATAGCACCCGTCTTCCGACGGGTACGCCCGGACACTACAGTGTCACTACGGGAGGTGGGTAAACATGGACTCTCTGTGGTTTCTTGAAACGACTGCGTGCGAACAGTGGCGAGATCCCCATGGCGCCTGTAGGTGGACCTGCCGGGGTTTCCATTGATGACACAACGATGGGCATCCAACATCTGAACCAAGGGGTGATCAGATCGCCCCGGAAAAAGCACGAGCAGAGAGGTGAAAGCGAATCCTTAGGTGCAGACCAAGCGTTCGGAGCTGGGCCGGCTCGTGGACCAATATCTGTTCACCGTAGTCGTGTTTCCAAGCGGGTGGCTTACAGAGTGGGTCCCTTCAGGGGTCTTCTGGGGCGGCGCGGCTTGGCCTGAAAGGACCCCCCACTCAGTAAGCCACCCACTTGAAAAGCAGACGTCAGACAGAGTGATCCTCGCACCCGCCGGTTGAACGCCGTCTACTCTGCTTAAGGAGACTAGTTCACCGTTCTCTGGCACCCAGATCGTTGGTGTGACATCGTTATCGTTCGTGACATCCTCGATAGGGTGGAGTGCTCGCACGCTTGATCTAGCGTCTGGCGGAGGTCCACGGAGAGAAATGTGTGCGTGAAGGTAGACATAAAAAGAGGGAGTTCATCAGAATGAACAGGTACAGACCTTTTGTGGAAGATACGGCAGCTTTGAGTACGATTCCCTTTATTGACACTAGTGCATATCTCCGGGAACTCAGATGTAGATATGGTAGTTGCCGACACCCATTTCCTCTATTTCTGTGCATTTCTAGACCAGGTCTTGTCACGATAGTTGCATTCGTAGTCGTTGACGGAACCTGTGGGTCACTAGAAACAAGTTATGATTCAAGAAACTAGAAAGTATCAAGAGTACGAAAAAACGGCATCTCATAGACCACGAATAACATCGGCGAATCCGTTCCAGACTCAATGTCCATGTCTGAATACATAAATATTATCGTCTCGAGCGACATCACATCCTCTGATAATGCCGAGGTCATCTACTAAAGGAAATCGAGAACAGTATTAGCCCATTATCCAGGCGTGCGATTCGCATTCCATGTTCATGATAAATATCAATGAGAACTTACACTTACAAGCTCACTGTCCGACCTTCTCACTGTACTCTCGCCACTCGCCGTCGCACCGTCCGACTGAGATTCAGATCTTGCCTTCGTTGGCGAAGCGTCGAGAGGGTCAAGGCCCAAGTACTCGCAGAAAAAGACTCGAAGGATCAGGTTCCAACGACGAAGGGTTGGGAGGTCGAGTGCTGTGGCGTCATCCTGTCATAAGTCACCATCGTCAGCTCACTCCGTGTCACAGGGCAAGATCCGCACCACATCCAATAGGCTTGGACACATGCATAAGTGTAGAGAGAACGCACCTGAAGTGTATGCCACACCTTCGGGAACGGCTCCGTGATAACGTGCAAAATACTAACACCACCCTTCAAGAACGGAACATGATCATCTCCAATACTCCCCCACCGCACACTCCTTGGATCGTCCCTCGCCATGAAGAAACTCCTGAACGCTCGTTTCTCCGTCACCTCGCCTACAGCATCGCTCCGCTCTTCCTCCTCACTCAAAACTCCATTATCATGCAGCCTGTCTTCTGCACGGACTAGGATATCGAAGAGCCATGCCGTATCAGCGAAGAATGAGCGGACGGTAGGGTTGGCGGCGCCTAGGAGGTCGAGGAGAATGAGGTGGTCCAGTGTGGATAGGGGCGTTACAGGCGTGGAAGCGGACATGAGACGGCGTTTGGGGTGCGGTGGGAGATATGTTGTCGACCATTTATTCGCCAGGTGCCTGTCCACAAAACGAGCATCGCATATTCAAATTTGCGAATTTCATGCTTGGACTGAGGTCGTGCTTACCGTGCGCCATAGATCGAATCCGTAGCCGTCCAATCTTTGAACGCCTCTTCTCCGTCGAAAAAGATCAGCTGTAGAGTGACGTCCGAGAACTCGTCATCGTCATCGTCTATTGAATCTGATTCTGCGATACGTTTGACCCGTGCATTGATGAGTGGGTCCAGTGTTTGGGCGAGGTCGAGCATGAGGGCACAAGGAGCTGCAGAGTCTGTCGCGCCGACGAACTACTATGTGAGTGGGTAAGTTACGTATATCATATGAGCTCGGATAAAAGTGGATTTTCAAGGACAACATGGTCAGAAGAGGGATGGATCTAGTGCGACCTCAACTCGTCTCGTGCTAGCTCGACAGTGATACGACATTCGCGCTACTGCATGAAGCTACACAGATATGGAGGCTCGAAGGCTCAAATGAAGGAGTATTCACCTGGTTCTGTGGATAGCTCGAGAAGAACTTGCTATCGAAATGGGCGGACAACGCCACACGTCTGGGCGCCTCCGGATTCTTCGTTGCGATCACGTTCGTGAAGGTCTTCCGTCCGTAGGGAGTGTCATCGGTAAAGCTGTCTTCCTCAACATCCCAATCAAGTGCACGAAGTGTCGATACAATGTACTTGCGAACGAAGGTGTTGTTCTCGGTGCCGGCTGTACATGGGCTATTAAATCAATTGATTGCGGACTTGTGCCAACTGGAAACGTACGCGTTCTTGGGATGAGTATTTTAGACAGATGAGAGTTCGGATTCGAAGAGTCAAGATTTATAGATGGATCTGATAGTTCAGGAATAGCCAGGATAGCAGCTGGCGAAAGTCCAGGTAGATCGCGTTCTACCACCCGAACGGGAACGGTGTGATGTTGTGAATACGCAGGTAGAACGAGTAAATAGACAGCAAGACAGCAGAACGATAACGACAGGATACGAAGACGTGAGCAGAGCGCCATGGCGGGATAACCAGTAGATCGCCGCCAGCTGTAAGAGATGATGAGCCGCGCGAGTTGGCGCGATGCGTTGTGGGGAAGACCGAGGACGGGGTTAGGGTTTTCATGTCGCCATCACGAGCTTCAACGCGACGCGTCGACGCGTCTGCCTCAGTGCCTCTCCCTTCTGTCCCACCATCAACTCATCATCCCGCGTTTTCTCGTGCTCTCAACCGTCAAAAATTTTGCTAGCTTTCTAGATACTCTAGATATGTCGCACGCACATCCAAGGAAAGTGACCCCCGTAGCACATGCCCTTATTTCCAAGTGCCAACTCGTCAACCGCGAGACAAGCGAGCAGAGAGTCGCAGAATATCGCGACCAGCTCCTCACCCTCCAGGAGGAAGATTATATCAAGTGCGGCCACCCAGATGGCTCACCCTGGCAGGTCTGGTTCCGTGAGGTCGCGCAGTCGACTCCCACACCCTCTGCTTCCTCCGATCCAAACGCTTTCTCAGGGTTAGCCGTGCACGACCTTCACGACCCTCGGACAAGGAACATCTTGCTCAAGAAAGGCGCTGAGTTCATTCCCGACAATATATTCTTTCGTACGGTGGATACGGGAAGAGCATTGCCGATGAAGTTGGCAGATTTTAGGATCCAGTGGTATGCCCATAAGAACCACTGGGATCACGTTGACAGAATGAAGAAGCAAAAGAAGGAAGGCAATTGGGAGATGTATGCCTTCGCGATAATCGTATGTTCGAATGACAGCCACCTATCGATGTCTGCGTACTTTGCCTCATTCTTTGTCTTTCACTGCTTCTTTAGCTTCACCAACTTGTTGTCCTTCGTAATATGCATGACCAGATGGGCGGCGACATACCGGTAATCATCGTCGACTGGAATGACCGCACCATTGGCCTGGCGATGGACTACTGGGTGAACCTGAGCAAAGGGATTTGGACAGATCGTCTCGAAGAGCGTGATGCAGAGTGTGAGTACAATCATTATAACAATTCTTTCATGGTCCGGGGTGGTGAAGAAAATGAGTACTCACGCACTTCTGGCCGCAATCTACGATATAGTCCAGCACGTATTCGAAGAAGCCAAACAAAACGGGTTTCCATGCTTTTACCAGGCTGATCTTCTCGTCCGTTCATTGCTCCATGATAAAGCAGTAGGCTACGTTCCTCCTTTCATAGTTCTCCAGCAACGCGACACCGCGTACGGTATGTCAACACTTTAGCATGCCTGACTACACCGCATCGATCACATTGGACGAATCTCCAAAATTCTCTGATCTTTATTCATGTGCATATCCAGGCAAATCTCGCATCCTCTTCACCTCACCTCTTCACACGCCCCCTCACTCCTTCCTTGCCTCCTTTCCGATCGGATGCAACGGTCCTCACTGCACCGACCCTGCGTGCGCCTCCTTCCTCTTCCACCTTCCTTCTTCAGACCCTCTCTCTACCCACGCCTACGCCACCCTGGCGCCCAATACCCCAATGGTCCGCGACCTAACGAAAGCAGAAGACTATCTCGGGAGGCGGATTGTCTGCAACTTGTGGGGATGTGAGAGGGGATATCTGTTGGGGGAGGGTGTTGATGGAAAGGGTGAGATCGGTAAGGCGAGATGGACGAAGGGAGAGGGGGCAAAGGGGGGAATGGAGTGGAGAGTTATGTTTGGCGGGAACGCGGCGTTAGGACCGGACAATGGAAAGTTATTGAGATGCCAGAGGTGCAGAGAAGTGGTTTATTGCTGTAAGGAGCATCAGGTACGTGACGACTCTTTCTGATTCCTGGGACCTTCGTCGTTTGGAGTCAATCTGCGTTATACTGAATTTGATGCGGACATGTGTACACAGGCGACTGATTGGAATGCGCACAAGAAAATCTGCGAGAAGCGTAACTAATTCCGCCGACCGACGACATAGGGCAATAGTCAGTACCGCTCTTCTTACTCGCCATTTTTCCTCGCGCCGTTTGGTGTTTCCACTTGCTGTGGATGTATTCGACTTTTTCGACGCACAATAGTACCGACTCCTGTTTCTAGACTCCAGATACTTTCCTTTTGTACTGTACTTGTGATTAATATTTTCTGCGTGTTCTTGTAGCCGTAGCCGTTATCACCTTGGTCGAAGGTGTTGTATTGCCTCTGTATCTTCTAAACTTTGTTGTACCCATTTGGTAGTTGAGTTCGTAATGTGGTACTTCCAGAGTCCATTCAACCTTGTACGTCCCGGTTTCTTTATGCAATGTTTTTGGGGGTTCTGGGCCACAGCACCGCTCTGGAAGATGTTCGTCGACATTGTGACTCATTATCCAGTTCTTTGTCTATTGAACTTGATTCCAGTACTGATAGATAGCACTGATAGCTCGCGGTGGCCACCCATGCACGCTCAAAGTACTAGCATTCGCAAAGGAGAAGCGGTGAACCCAGTACGGTAATCGAACTTCTTTCGGTGACTAATCGATTGTCGTCATCTCGATCGAGCCGTGAGCCCGTTTTGATTCCACGTTGATTACTAGGTTCATCATGACAGCTGTCAAGAACGTTCGAACACACGACGCGGAATCAGTATTCAGAACTCAGAGTTTGACTTCTGCCACCAACTCTCCGCAAGGCAAAAACGGCCATGAACAGCAAGTAGCTTGATATTCGTAATGGTAAGGACGTCAAAACGCTCACCAATGATGGCCGAGTCTGCGACGCTCGATCGCAATGTAATGCACTGCATAATATCAGGCAGGAAGCGACTGAACGTACAAAGCTCGTTCGACACCTTGTCCTGTAAATGCATAATGAAAGCATATCTCGATATTTCCGGGTCGAACACGCACACCCACGTTGATTGCGACTTGTGACCGGACGAATGGAAAGGAGCACGCTAGCTTGCCCCAACGATAGCCAGGTATGCTAGCTGTCGCTGTGAGACAAATGAGATAAACACTTTGCCGATAACAACGTCTTCCGCCTCGAAAATAGCCTGAAAATGCTTTACAAGATATGATGTTTTTCACGGCCTGTGGGGAAGGGAAAAAACCACATTGCGCAACGTGAAAGGAACATGAAAAAGTCTTCCATTTTAGTCATCTTTACCATTGCCTTTGCGGTGTCGAAAAGGCGATAGATGGAACGAATTTTATCAAGGTGGTCTTTTCTCCTTTGTTCACCTTTTGTCTCAAGAAAGGGAAAACAAAAGCTGTTAGAACTACTCATTTTTTCTTTTCACCTACATTTTCATATCCTGGTCGGCGAAGTGACGCTCGATGGAGGGCGGCGAGTGCCGACTGCACGGACAGGACAGCTACCATCAATGTGGCGGCGATAACGCACTCGCCTCGAGGCCGAGTGGCTCAGTGGACATCGAAGCCGACGACATCGAGTCTGCGCACGGGCCATGTATAGGGGGCGTGACCTGATCAACGAAGGAATCAACAAAGTCACATGAGCAACGCGCGCGCGGATGATCAGATAACGCAGAGAAGCACGCTAAACCATTTTGTGGAACAAAAGTCGCAAGTGATCCGCACCGTGGGAAGCCCCGGTGTACAGAATAAAGCAAGCACAGCCTCTCTCTGGCTCACTTGTCCTTCTACCCCACAGTGCCAGTGCCCCCACCCAGAAACCACTACAACACAGCCAATAAACCATGGTGAGTGCCGTCTTAGTATGAGTTGCAAGTGCCGAGCGTATAGGAGGGACGTGCTTACGTGTGGCGATGTCGCTTTGATTGTGTCGGTCTCAGTCGTCGAACACAACCAACGCAAACCCCACCTGCTACCGAAAGATGACTCTACCTCCCGCGATCGCCCCGCCGCAGCAGCCTCGGCTGGTAAGGTTTTGGAGCGTGAAGAAGCACGAGAAGAGACAAACTAAGACAGAGGCGACAGTTGGTGACGCCTACGAAGAGAAGGTATGTCCTCCTCTTCCTCCTTCCCTTTGTCCCTGCCTTTCCCCCTCCATCCTCTTCCCCCTCCCTCCTCGTTGCTACCGTTACTCCCCTGCCCGCTGTCGCCATCCTCGTCCCTGTCCCCACGTCCATATGTCGTGTGTCAGCAAGTGGCACTAGGCCACAGAGAGCATATTGACTGCTCTCGATGTTCGCGATCGACGGCGCCCTGAGGGATGTCGGCCGTAGCTATCGAGTGGTGAATCCCTCGTTAGGGATAGTGATCCACAACATCGTGGTAGCACATGTGCGCTGAGAGTCGACGCTGGGCAGGGGCTGAACATGTTCTCACCATCGTGCTCATCGTCGTCCTGCACCTAGGCGATCAACACTATGTCACAGCCACCTAGCCAAGACGGGGAGCCTGAGAACGAGCCCCAACCTCAAGTATGTCTACATACTTCCTCATCCTTCTTTATCCATTGCCTGGTTTCGTTCGTGAGCCTTAGAGCGCGTGCTGACACGAGGTGTCGTATAGATTCTCCCTGAGGCGGGCACCAGCGGAGGGGACCAGCTCGGTCTCTTTGACGTCTGCCCCAGCGTAACTAACGCGCAAGGGTTCAACCGTGCCGTGGGTCAAGCTCCCTTCGGCAACACTGCTTTTGGGTCGCGCAGCACCATTCCCCTGCGAACCTCAACGAACTTGCCCTCGCTCCCCCACGCTGCCGTCGAGGGCTTCCCCATCCCCACCTGGTCGTTCCAGGAGTCTTACGAGGCGATGGTCTCGACCCAGGGTGGATATTACGCCGACCCTTACACCGCTCCCCCCGTCGCCTCATATCCGTCCGTCACGTATCGTACGACAAGCCAGGGCACGGGCAGCGGAGCCAACCCTCACGGTAGCGCTTACGACAGTGACCCGGGCGTCACATATCGTGTCACGGGTCAGAGCGTCGCAGTCGTCACCCCGACTCCCGCGCCACAACTCCCCGCCACCTCCCAACCTCCTCCGGCCAACACCAGCGCTGCCGACGACAACGATCTGGAGCACTCGCACCCAGGCGAATCCCAACCTGCTCCCGGCAGGCATCGTGGCGGGATCAACTTGCGTAATATCCAGTCTTGGGCAGAGAGGGTCGCGCTGGAGGCGAGTGGCGCCTCGTGGGATGACCCCGGCTACGAAGCATCGCCGCCACCATCCGACTGGACACCTACCCCCACGCCGAGGACGATTCGTGCCATCGACACCACGCTCACCCCGGGGGCCAATACGTGTGCCAACACTCAACCCGCTCGGGTGCCGTCACCGGATGAAATCACGGCCGCGACGCCGAGGCCGCTTCGCGTGATGAACGTCACGCCTGGCAATACGGCCACTCCACTGGCTAACGCCCAGCCCGCTCAAGGACCCCAACCACCCACGCCCGCGTTCGACATCGACGCAATGGTCGCCAGAGCGTACGATGAGACCGCCCAAGCTTCACAGGAAACTGAATACCAGACTACAACGTGCATCACGGAGCTCGCCGTGGTAGTAACGGAGCGGAGGCTCATCGTGAGTTCACATGTGTAACCTGGTCTTCCGTCCCCTGACACTAACAATCACATCTAGACGCCGCCGCCACATAAGGAGCGTGCCGACACACCCACGACAGCAATGGCCGTCGACCGCTTACTTCGGGAGGACTTACGCAGGGGGTTCTACCGCCTATTAAAGATGGCTATCCAGCCCCGCCACATCGCAGAGCCCGCTCCCGCCTTGCTCCCGGAAGGAACGGAGGCAAAGCTCAAGTTGTGGGGCTCGAAGATTGAGGAGACAGCGGTTGCGGATGTGGTGGCGGACGCGAGGGGCGTTCACATGTGGCAACCGAGGGCGTGGGGGATTAAGCACATGGCGGATATCCAGAGGATGGAGGATATCGCCGATGTCTTCGCGGAAAACTTTGTGAAGCCGTATGTGCCAGGTTTCAGGGGGTGAGTACTCTAGTCTTTCTGGGAGGTTGTCGGCGAGGGTTTGAGGTGCGCGTCCGAGAGAGAGGCGATGGATCGGAGGGGTGAGGGCGAGAGTGTCGGTAGAGATGAGTCAGGATTGTTGGAGCGTTTGGGAATGAGAGCAGCACAAACGATGGGCTGCCTGTACAATGGGGGTGTACGTTAGGGTTGGTATTTCGTCGGTGGGGATGTTGATGTGGTCCAAAATGGACCTGCAAATGTGTTTGGATATGAGCTTGGATACGCACGGACGCTACGTACCTTGTTTTGTTTCTCTGTCCCGTCTCCTTTCCGTTTGCGTGGTTTCTTCCGTCATTACGATGCCCTCCTTGTACACATCGGGGACGTTGTCGGCTGTTTCGCGAATCCGTGTTTGTCTTGATGCCCGTCTGTCTATCGAGGTCTAAATGTACTATTACCTACCGTGTCTATTTCACGAAGGATCAGATCTCAGCTCCGGAATCCAGCCTGATCAGCGAAAATCTGATGATTCACATACCTGTCCGAGCGAACTGCCTCAGTCCACGGTCAGCGTATCCTACTCGCACGGGTAAGCGATTGCAATATTCTGTGGGTGTACGCATAGTGCAGCACAGAGGGTCGTCAAAGAAAGAACGCAAAGAGCAGAGCCTTTATACGAGACTGAAAAGGCCCAAAAATGGAGGACAAGAACAGAGGGTAACCGGCAATTCCCGCTTCTTATTGTCGTGCCTAGGACGCCCGCTGTGTCGACGTGTCCTCCGAAACACCACCATTGTACGGGGTAGCGGCTCCGCGCAGTGTGGCCAAGGACAAAGTTCCGATGAGGATCCATTTGGCGCCATCATGACCTTCACCGCGTCGCGTCTTGGTCTTTTTCTGAGTTTTTTTTTGACGTTCCTACATCATCTCATCTACGAACTTTGATTGCTCTCGATACGTTCAACACGCATGTCTGTGTAAGCTGACTTTCGGGATGAATGGTTTTATTTTTAATGACCAAATCGTCCGGCACCAGGATGTAGCAGAATATGGCGACCCAACGAGAAGTATCCGCCAAACGCTGATATGGAGAAGGTACACGGGGTTATATCATAAGCCATGGACTCGATTCTGCCACGGCTATTTCAAACGACCTCCCAAAATCTATCCTGCACGGCTTTCACCACTCAAGGAACATCGTGCTCAAGAAAACAGTGTAGTCCATGCCGGGCGGTGATTTCCTACGGAAAATAGGTATGAAAAGGGCGTTCAGCTGATCGAGTTGGCAAGCATATGCCTTCAAGAAATCACTGGACCGTCTTAATTGAAAACACTGCATTTATCTTGTATCTCGGTCATTCAAGTATATTCATTCAGTAGTGGGGACTCTGTTTGTGATCCTCATCCATTGCATTGAACGTTGCAAGTCTCGTTTTGGTGATGCGATACCCTTGGACGCGTTTTGAGCTACATTGCCGTTGACGACGGAAGGAACTCGATGACAGTTCATCCCATTATAATTCATTGTTCAACCCTCTGTTCGTTGCGTCGTCAAAAATAACCTTGGCGCTGCTGATGTATAGGGCACAAAAGGTTCGCATCCGCTGGTCAGGCTCAACAACAACATCGACTAAGGAGAATGGAACTCTCAGCGAGTAAGGCAGACGAGGTAGGTTCTTTCACTGTGTGGTCAGCTAATGACATCTCGATCAGGCCATGAGTCTGTTTCGTGTACTTTCAAGTTCATCATAAATCTTGACAAGGTGGACAGCCGCAGCGGAATCGAAGTGAACGAAATGCAGAAGTTGAATTCCAGAGTCTTTGCAACTTGCTCGATTTTGTACGGCTCGGAAGTCTGCCAAGGCCTGCGATGAGAATCATTCGCCCCGCTGAATCGTGAGCCGAATAAGTAGGTCAAATAAATGTTGAGATGAACCCTAAACGCGAGATAGACTATATCTAATAGGTCATTCTAGTCGAGACATCGAGAACGACACAGACCCATCCTGATCCTTAGTGACGACCAGCGAACACACCATGGTCGACACAAAGCAAAAATGAACGTACGAGTCGCGCTCAATTCCTCGGATCCGAACACCTAAGAAGTGAGAAGATCGAAGCCCCATGCTAGAGGATATGGAAGGTCACGCAAGCTGATTGAACAATGATGTTCATGGCGATTTCGGTCAATAAAGAAAAGATTGCGAACAGACGCGATCATATTTCACGACTATTTGTGGCTAACAAGAGGAAATATACAATATGGTTCACTCAAGACCATTGAAGGCCAGATATGCTCACCGTCAACGCTGTCGAACAAAGAAGTATTTACGAAGCATCTGTGGTGAAGGGAACAAGAAACCAATCGACAGACAGTGTTCCTCCATGAAGAGGTTCTTGCAGTCTGCGGTAAATCGGACGACGAACTCCGATTGCAGACAGAAAATGTAACAGCCAGTGGATGGCGAGGTGAATGAAGTCGCCTACAGGCCGAGTGGCTCAGTGGGCGGCCACGTCGAAGCCGACGAAATCGAGTCTACGCACGGACCATGCGCAAGGGACGTGACCTGATCAACAAAGGAATCAACAAAGTCACATGAGCAACGCGCGCGCGGATGATCAGATAACGCAGTGAAGCACGCTAAACCATTTTGTGGAACAAAAGTCGCTGGTGATCCGCACCGTGGGAAGTATCCAGATGTTAAAGCAGGCCCGGCCTCTCTCTTGCTCACTTGTCCTCCTACCCCACAGTGCCAGTGCCCCCACCCAGAATCCACAACAACACAGCCTAACAACCATGGTGAGTGCCGTATCAGTATGAACGTCGAGTGCCGGGCGTATAGGAGGGACGTGCTTACGTGTGGCGATGTTGCTTTGATTGTGTCGGTCTCAGTCGTCGAACACAACCAACGCAAACCCCACCTGCTACCAGAAGAGGATTCTACCTCCCGCGATCTCCCCGCCGCCGCAGCCTCGGCTGGCAAGGTTTTGGAGCGTGAAGAAGCAAGAGAAGAGACAAACCAAGACAGAGGAGGCGACAGTTGGTGGCACCTACGAAGAGAAGGTATGTCCCTCTCTTCCCCCTTCCCTTTGTCCCTGCCCTTCCCCCTCATTCTTCTTCCCCCTCCCTCCTCGTTGCCACCGTTACACCCCTGCCCGCTGTCGCCATCCTCGTCCCTGTCCCTACGTCCATATGTCGTGTGTCAGCGAGTGGCACTGGGCCACTGAGAGCACATTGACTGCTCTCGATGTTCGCGGCCGACGGTGCCCTGAGGGATGTCGGCCGTAGCTATCGAGGGGTGAATCCCTCGTAGGGATAGTGATCCACAACATCGTGGTAGCACATGTGCGCTGAGACTCGACGCTGGGCAGGGCGGCGATCATATCCACTGTTTACCTTAAACATGTTCTCACCATCGTGCTCATCACCGTCCTGCACCTAGGCAATCAACACTATGCCACCACCGCCTGGCAAAGACGGTGAGCCTGAGAACGAGCCCCAACCTCAAGTATGTCTACATACTTCCTCATCCTCCTTTACCCATTGCCCGGTTTCGTTCATGAGCCTTGGAGCGCGTGCTGACACGAGGTCTCGTATAGATTCACCCTGAGGCGGGCACCAGCGGAGGGGACAAGGTCGGTCTGTGTGACATCTGCCCCAGTGTAACTAACGCGCAAGCGTTCAACCGTGCCGTGGGTCAAGCTCCCTTCGGCAACACTGCTTTTGGGTCACGCAGCACCATTCCCCTGCAATCTTCAAGAAACCTGCCCTCGCTCCCCGATGCTCCCGTCGAAGGCTACCCCATCCCCACTTGGTCGTTCCAGGTATCTTACGAGGCGATTGTCTCGAGCCAGGGCAGATATTACGCCGACCCTTACACCGCTCCCCCCGTTGCCCCATATCCATCCGTCACGGATCGTATCACGGGCCAGAGCGCGTCGGACGGTGCCATCCCTCACGATGGCGCCTACGACAGCGACCCAGGCGTCACGTATCGTGTCACGGGACAGAGTGCGTCCAGCGGAGCAGTCCCTCACGATGGTAGCTACGATATCGACCGCATCGCTTCGACACCCATGCCACAGGACCCCACCATCTCCCAACACCGTCCTACGGCCGTCAGCGCGAACGGCGCTAACAACGTCCAGCCATCGAGCTCAGTCACGTCCCAGCCTGCTCCCGGCTGGCGTCCGGGCGGGATCAAGTGGCGCAATGTTCAGTCTTGGGCCGAGTGTGTCGCGCTGAAGACGAACGAAACACATGCCTCTACGCCTAGGCCGAGTCGCCCCATCGACGCCACGCCCACCCCGGGGGCCAATACGGGTGTCAACACCCTACCAGCTCGGGTACCATCACCCGACGAAACCACGACCGCGACGCCGAGGCCGCTTCGCGTGACGAACGTCACGCCTGGCAATACGGCCACTCCCAGACCAGTGGCTAACACCCAGCCCGCTCAAGGACCACAACCATCCAGGCCCGCGTTCGACATCGACGCAATGGTCGCCAGGGCGTACGATGAGACCGCCCAAGCTTTACAGGAAACCGAATACCAAAATACAACGTGCATCACGGAGCTCGCCGTGGTGGTAACGGGACGGAGGCTCATCGTGAGTTCACATGTGTACCCTGGTCTTCCGTCCCCTGACACTGACGGTCACATCTAGACGCCGCCGCCACACAAGGAGCGCCCCGACACACCCACGACAGCAATGGCTGTCGACCGCTTGCTTCGGGAAGACATGCGCAGGGGGTTCTACCATCTGCTGAAGATGGCTATCCAGCCCCGACACATCGCAGAGCCCGCTCCTGCCTTACTCCCGAAAGGAACGGAGGCGTACCTAAGGTTGTGGGGCTCGAAGGTCGAGGAGACAGCGGTGGCGGATGTGGTGGCGGACGCGAGGGGCGTTCACCTGTGGCAACCGAGGGCGTGGGGGACGAAGCACATGGCAGACATCCAGCGGATGGAGGACATCGCGGATGTCTTCGCGGAAAACTTCGTGAAGCCGTATGTGCCAGGTTTCAGGGGGTGAGTGCCTTCGTGTCTCTGGGAAGTTGCCGGCTCGGGTTTGAAGTGCGCGTCTGAGTGAGAGACGATGGATCGGTAGAGGGGTGGGGACGAGAGTGTCGATGGAGGCGAATCAGGGTTGTTCAAACGTTGGGGAATGAGGGGTTTGCGGACGATGGGCTGTACGATGGGTGTGTGCATTAACGGTTGATGTTTCGTTCGTGGGGGTGAGAGGGCTGATATGGTCCAAAATGGACCTGCGAATGTGTCTATATATGGTTTTGGGTGCGTACGGACGCTACGTACCTCGGTTTTTGTTTCTCTATCCCTTCTCCTTTCCGTCTGCGTTGTTTCTTCGGTCATTACGACACCCCTCCTTGTACACATCGGGGACGTTATCGGTTGTTTCGCGAATCCTTGTTTGTTTGGTCGTCTGTCTGTCCCTCGAGTTTTGAATGTACTATTACCTATCGTGACTGTGTCTCGAAGAATCAAATCTCAGCTCGGACATCCAGTCTGATCAGCTAAAATCAGATTATTCACATACCTGTCCGAGCAAACTGCTCCAGTCTACGGCCGACGTATCCTGCTCGCTCGAGTAAGCGATTGCAGTGTTCCGTGGTTTAACGGAGAGTGCAGCACAGTATCGTCAAAGAAAGGAAACAGAGGAGCAAGCCTTTATACGAGACCGAAAAGGCCTAAAAATGGAGGACAACGACAGAGGATAACCGGCAATCTCCGTTTCCTATTGTGGTGCCAAGGGCGCCCGCTGTGTCGACGTGTCCTCCGAAACACCACCGTTGCACGGGGAACCGGCTCAGCGCAGTGAGGTCCAAGGGCAAGGTTCCAATCAAGGTCTGTTTGGCACCATCGCGACCTTCACCGCATCGTGTCTCTGTGTTTCTCTGAGTCCTACTACATCATCATATCTCCCGTTTTCAACTAAGTATTGCGAGCTTCGGCTGCGCTCGAATACGTTGTGTGCATATTTATATCGGGTGACTAAGCGAACGTGATATAGGGGAATAATATCGCGACCGGATCCTCGCAAGGAGAAGGATCCGTCAAATGCATGCACCGAGAAAGGTCGTCTTTGCATCTTGGCCATTCAGGTGTATTATTTTAGTAGCCGGGACTCCGTTCGTGATCCTACTAATGCACTCCATTGAACCTTACACTTCTCGTTTTGAGCTACAGCGCCATTGACGACGCAATGAACACGACAGTCGATCTCAGTATTGCTCATTATATAGCCCTCTGTTCGCTGTGTCGTCAAAAGTCACACCGGTGCCACCAGTGAATAGCGCACAAAAGGTTCTCAGCAGTTGCAAGCCCAATAAGTGCAATAACATTGGCCAAGGAGAAAGGAGATCTCAGTGAGTGCGGTAGACAGGGTCCTTGCGCCGCGCAATCAGCTACTGCAATCTCGATCGAGCCATGAGCCCGTTTGGAGTCTATGTCAATCACTACGTTCATCATGAAAACGTTCGAACAGACAGAGTGGAATCGACAATGACCGGAATGCAGGACTCAGACGCTAGAGTAATAGCGGCTTGCTTCCATGTTGTACGTTTCGGAAGCTTGTGGTTCTCTCTCCAACTTCAGTCCCTCACGGCCTGCGGTGAGAGCCATTCGCACCACTGAATCGTGAGCCAAGTAGTGAGATGAGCCCTGAACGTAAAAGGGGCCATATTCAACGCCTCAGTCACGCTCAACCTCAGTCTTTCGAAAACGACATAGACCCATTGTGATTTCTCAATGACGATCATCAACGACGAAATACGTCACATCATCACAGCTACAAAGCAAAAAAAAAAAAATAGACGTATGCGTTTTGCTCGAGACCTTGTCTCCTGAATCCCCGTAAATCTGGACTCGAGCAACCAAGAAGTGCAAACATCGAAAGCCCAATGTTTGAGAACATGTAAGGCCGTGCACGCTAGTCCGACAATCATGTTCAAGGCGATTTGGGTAGACAAAGGAGAGGTCACGCTGGTCAAACGAACACGATCATATTCATGACGATTTGGGCCTAACAAGGAGAAGATATACTGTTGTTGAACCCTATTGATGGCCAGATATGCTGACCGTCAGCGCCGTCTAACAAAAGAGTGGTATTTTGGAGGCATCTGCGGTAGAGAAAGCAGAAAACCAAAAGGGAAGACAATCGACAGACAGTGTTCTTCCACAGAGAGGCTCTTTCAGCCTGCGGCACCTCGGACGATGAGCGCCGATTGCATACAGACAAAGTAACAGCCAGTGATATGGCGACGTGAATAAAACCGCCTCGAGGCCGAGTGGCTCAGAGGGCCACGTCGAAGCTCGTCGAAGCTGACGATATCGAGTTTGCGCACGGACCATACATAGGGGGCGTGACCTGATCAACGAAGGAATCAACAAAGTCACATGAGCAACGCGCGGGCGGATGATCAGATAACGCAGAGAAGCTAAACCATTTTGTGGAACAAAAGTCGCTGGTGATCCGCACCGTGGGAAATGTCCAGAAGTTAAAGCAGGCCCGGCCTCTCTCTTGCTCACTTGTCCTCCTACCCCACAGTGCCAGTGCCCCCACCCAGAATCCACAACAATACAACCTAGAAAACATGGTGAGTGTCGTATCAGTATGAACGTCGAGTGCAGGGCGTATAGGATGAAGGTGCTTACGTGTGGCGATGTTGCTTTGATTGTGTCAGTCTCAATCGTCGAACCCAACCAACGCCCATCCCGCATACTACCAGCAAACGATACTACCTCCCGCGATCGCCCCGCCGCAGCAGCCCCGGCTAGCGAGGTTTTGGAAGACAAAGAAGGAGGACAAGAGACAAACTAAGACAGAGGAGGCGACAGTGGGTGGCACCTACGAAGAGAAGGTATGTCCTCCTCTTACCCCTTCCCTTTGTCCCTACCCCTCCATCGAGGATGTACGATATACGACACACACACAGTGGCGCCCAAAAGCCGAGTATATACAAAGTATAGCACCACACCTTGATCGGGTACGGCGGGTCCGAGACAAAGTGCGACACCTTGGGCGGAGGCTGCACACTGTGTCGCAGATTGATAAGCATGTGCTGCGCTTGTCCGCCCGTACAAACAACGCGTCAACAACGCGTCTGACTGCACCCAAGTACTGCTGTGATTCGTCAATTCCCAAAAAATGTCCGAAAATTTCGAATACAATTTTGTGTGCTCCTTTCTTTCGCCCACGACACCGCCGCCGCCATGTCCGACGTTGAGCTCGACGCTGCCGACTTCATCAACACCGTTCCAGTTGACATCCTGATAAAATTTCGTGAGGAGGTAAGCAAAAGCTTATGTGGCCCGCCATCCATTGTCTCCCTTTCTTACCTTCATCCAGATGTTCTCCTTGTCGTACATCAGTAAGAATCCCGGAAGGTTCCTCACGTACGACTGGGTCGATGTCCACGCCCTCCAGGAATTCATGCAGACTCACGGCAGTACGCCATTGCGTCGAGCGAGTAGTGTGGCGCCGTTCTCATCCTCCGCTTCTCTCCGCCGACCGCCGCCTCGCCGGGCATCCATAACTGTAAAGGACGAACCCACGGATGCCGTGTGGGTTAAACACGAGGACGAGGAGGTTGATCTTACCTCGAGATCTGGTGGGAAGCGTCGACAGTCGAGCTCTTCCGCTGTTTCGTGGCGCACATCAATGAATGAGGACGGGACAGAGGTCCTTTGAGATTCTGTCGGATGATGAGGCTGATTTCCCGGCGACTA